GTTATAGACAGAGGCGCTTAATTAAATTATTCAGTCCCAAATGCGAAATACACCAAATACACTGAGTAGATTATTTAAACTGACTGTCTGACCCTTGTTCCCTCTCAGATGTTTGAGTTTTATGAGCGAGTGTCTGGAGCCAGAATGCACGCTGCTTACGTCAGACCTGGTGGTGTTCATCAGGTAGGAAGGTTCACTGAATAATTTGTCTCATTTGAGTTCTGTATTCACAGTCAGACCTGATGACGTGGTTAAGTAATAATAACAACAAACAGCAAAATAAGCTCTTTGGGAAAGATGTTTTGTTGCAACAGCTACAAAGAGCAAAAATTACATAAGACAAATGAAATACGCAGTTGTGCATTTAAACAATTTGATTTTAATTGTCAGTAATGTAATGTAATGTCAGTAGTATTACAAAGAAGTTTCACATATATGGCATGTGTAGATCACTTCCTCAATCATATTATGATAAAAATCATCCATGAAGTGCTAATGGTCTGAAATGTGTTCCAGGATTTGCCCCTGGGCCTGATGGACGACATCTACGAGTGGTGCAAGAATTTCTCCATCAGAATCGATGAAGTAGAAGAGGTGAGTGACTGTACTTTCTATGATTTTCTTCATCTCTCCATAAGCTCAGGACATGATTAAAGCATGATAAGATGTGGTGAAGATCCAACCAGTAAATGATCAAATCTTCCTCCATGCAGATGTTGACTAACAATCGAATCTGGAAGAATCGTACGGTAGACATTGGGGTGGTTACTGCTGAGGAAGCCCTCAACTATGGCTTCAGGTAACCTGCTAATGAATGTTGAAAGGCTCAAGTATTTTGGGGTACTCCATCTATGAAAAGTCTTAGGGGGATTTGAAATGTTAAAAATTTACCTACCTAAAAAAAACAACCCCTCCCTCTTTCTACCAGTGGAGTAATGCTGCGAGGGTCCGGCATCAAGTGGGACCTGAGGAAGTCTCAGCCCTACGACAAGTATGACGAGGTGGAGTTCGATGTCCCTATTGGAAGCAAAGGAGACTGCTATGACAGGTGTGAAGATTTTCAAGTCGCTGTAGATTATTGTTTTATTCTTCTGCCTCATTTTGTTTCTGAAGTCAGTTTCTTCAGTGTTAGTCAACGTTTCACTGACACAGACAGGGATCTTGTTTCTTAATTGAAAGTTTTGGTTGGATAATTTTATCTGGGCAAGTGTACCGTGCCTTCGACTGGTTCTAGAAAACACTTTTGCAAGCAACACATTTCACGGAGTTCTAGTGAATCCTGAAGAAGGACGATGAACGGTAACAATTAAGGAAAATGTCACCTTGTGCATTTTTCACAGTTTCATGACATTTTAAACTTAAGTGAAATAATAAATTGAAAAAAAAAAAATTTAAGGATCCATTAGAAATAAAAAACAGTGCCACTGCAAAGGACTATGATTTCGATTTTTTCTTTTTTACTGTGACATTGTTTTTGTCTTTATTATAATTATATCTAAAATGATAATAAAATAATTTATTTTAGATATTGATAATTATAATTATTGATATCTAAAATAAACCTATTTAATTATTCCATGCCTCATGAGGATTCATAGTTTAAATTTTTTTTTTTTCTTGGAAGTTGAATAAAAGTGATGTTAAAATAGCGTAAACGTCAGCTTTACGTTAAAACACTTCTAATGACTTGGCAACTGAACCTTGACTCCTCGTTCCCTCTCTGCTATTCTCTATCACCGGTTCCTTCCACTTCCTGTTGTTGTGCACGACTTTCAGACTGGACAAATTTACTGCATCTCGTCAGTAATATTAATTATTATTCATTTTTAACCGGCTGTAATAATCAGGTGATGTCTGCACTGTTTGACCTGCCCTCATGATTCTCCTCCTCGTGAACTCGCCTTAAAGTAATCATTGATTTGGATGCAACATGAATTTAGGGAACCTTGGAAACCCAGCTTGGACACAAAAGAAACAATAACCTGTTCGAACTGCTACAAAATATCAGGGCGGCTCCACTTGACACACTCCTGCTGTAGGGAAAAAATATATGCTCTTACTTAAATTCCTTGATGAAAATTTCAGCTCTTTCCTTCCTCTTCCACAGTTTTGTCAGTGTAATGCCGCAATTATAGCAATAAATGACAGAAATCCACAGAGTGCAACGCTGTTAGAAAATAGTGTTTTCCATGAAAACACCCGCTAGAGTTTGTTGAGAGCTGGAGGCAGCACAAAATTTAACAGAGGTGGCCGCTTTGTAATTCTTTATGCAGTAAAAACACTGAATTTTTATTTCTTTTCTTTTTTTTTTATAAATCAAATACAGCTAAGACTTTATGATTTATTTTGAAAATGTAGAGACACAGTGTCTGATTGAAGCATTGAAGCACATTTTGGCATTAAACAGATAATTCAAATCCTGTTGAGTTCAGTTAAAATCATCATCATACAACTGCTGATTTATTATGTAGAAAACACATCTGTCAGACATTAAGTTCTACAGCAAATATGCCACATGATTTAAACACAGAACATTCAGTCCAGCACTGTGTCTATTAGAAAGGCTTTTATTACATTACTGGCCAACCATGTGTAAATAAATCATTGTTTATATGCAGCCACAGCTGTTAGTGTGAGTGTGCTGCAGCTGCTTAATGATTTTCACTCGGGCAGTGTTTCTTATTACACAGTCTGAACAATGAATATAAGTGAGCTGTCAGTGCAGAATACGACACAGTAATCCAAAGTGTTTTATTCAGGGAAAATGAAAAGAAATGACCTTGTCTGTTTGAAAGGATCTATTTTCTGTTCACATGATCAACTCCTCAACTGTGACCTTTCAACAATGAATTATGGCGAATCATGAGATGTAGCTGATTCACTGATGTACACTGTTATCGGCATCTGTAAAGTAGCTTATGACTGTTGTGTGTGTGTGTGTGTGTGTGCGTGTGCGTGCGTGCGTGTGTGTGCGTGTGTGTACGTACGTGTGTGTGTGTGTGCGTGCTTGGGGTCCAGGTATCTGTGCAGAGTGGAGGAGATGAGACAGTCCCTTCATATCATGCACCAGGCGCTCAACAAGATGCCAGAAGGAGAGATTAAGGTGGATGATGCCAAGGTGGCCCCACCTAAGAGGTCTGAGATGAAGGTGAGCTTAGCTTCACTTTGTTAGATGTTTTTTTTTTTTTTCTTTATTTTTTTTTTTTCTATAATGCCTACAGGCTATTTAACCTTGAAAACATTGCACCTAGTTCCTATCTTCGTTTTCCCCTGTGCTTTGTTATTTCTCTGTGTTAAAACCCACTTTCATTTGGCAGGAGATCAGCTCTAGTTCACCTCAGTGTTACCATTTCACATGTCTGTCACAGACTCGCAACTTCTTAAACTTCAGTATTGCAACAGCTGTATGATGTTTTTTTCTGTGCTCCTCGTCCTAGATGTCCATGGAGTCTCTGATCCACCACTTTAAACTGTACACAGAGGGCTACCAGGTCCCCCCAGGGTCCACATACACAGCTGTGGAGGCACCAAAGGTGAGACTATTTGTAATGTGTGTAATAGTTGGACTAGTTGTACAATTCTGTATAAAAAATAACCTGTAGATGCTCTAATAGACTCCCCACAGATCAAGTTCACCTTTTTAACACAACAAACAAAAGTGTCTGACTCTGTATATCTTAGTACACAGAGGCTTTTTTGAGTCTTAATTAATTGGGAACCTTTTGTGGGCCTCTAGGGATTTGTTGTGATGTAATATGCTTACTGTGTATATTTCTGTGTGTGTGTGTGTGGCTTGCAGGGAGAGTTTGGTGTTTATCTGGTCTCGGACGGCTCCAGCAGACCCTATCGCTGCAAGATCAAAGCTCCTGGATTCGCTCACTTGGTACGCACTTTAATAAAAAAAATAGATAAATAAAAAAAACTTAAGACGCTGTGAAATATTAAACACACCGGGTATCAATTATTCAGCGCGTGTAACAACTCGTCCTTAAGGCTACTTTTAGTTCATTAAGTACATTTTATGAAGTACTATAGAACCATTTTTAAAAGCACACAGCCCCTCCCCCTCCCCCCTCTTCATCGTCCCTCCTTCCTGCCCGTCTCTTAGCTCATGGGTACATGAACTGCTGTTTAACGTAGTCATTTGAATTTTGGTCTTCAAGGCTAAAAATGTCTTTAAAGTTGCATAAACAAACTATTAGAGTAGTTAGTGCATTAACTTCAGGCTGTAATCTCATGAATTATGAATATTCACTCGTCTATGAGCTCATCTGCCCTGAATAGTGGTAGCTGGTCTTCAGTTATACTGAATGTTAATGCATGTTTTCTTCTTCCTAGGCGGGTCTGGATAAAATGGCCAAAGGACACATGTTAGCTGATGTGGTGGCCATTATTGGTAAGAAAGTGATTACCAAGTGACTTCTTTAAATATAAGACCGGCATGTAAAAGCACAATGATCAAGCTAAAAATGTATGTATGTGTAATCTGTGTGTGTGTGTGTGTGTGTGTAATGAGTCTTTTCTTCCTCTTCCTTCAGGTACACAGGACATAGTGTTCGGCGAAGTTGACCGTTAATGTGATGCTGCTAATGGGTTTCCCTGAAGAGAATTTGTTCTCCCCTTCACACATCTGCTAGTCAGGTTCTCTTCCTGTTCACTATTCGCTGTAGTGAAATACTTGTCAGATGACTCCTCTTATAATCAGTGATGTACAATGTCCAAATAAACCTAATAAATATTTTATGACCCAAGAGTAAAGTAGTGAGTTGATTTTTTTTTTTTGTTGTATATCATATATAGATTTATACCATCTTAAACACTGCGCTTTTTCAAACGCTTCATTTCCTCGAGTTGTCTGAAAACATGAGCAAAAAATCAAGTATAAACATGAGAGGCAGAGACCAAAAGCCTCGATGATATGTCCTTCCTCTGGTTTGGTGTTAAAGGGGGAGTGGTCTGATGAGATCTGAGACAAATGGACTTAGTGCTCAGACCACAACTTCCCCTCTTGGCTGTGAGGTACGCAATACCCAAGTCTTCACCAGAACGCATAGAAAAAAAAAAACACCACCCACAACTAGTCGTGTTTTCTGTTCGCTGAAGGAGCCCGGTCTGTGTTACAATGGCTGTGTCGGGCAGGAGCCCATTACTCGTGGTAATTCCACTGTGGATGTGTTTTGGGAGCGCTGGTGAGTTGTGACAATCTTTGGTTGTGACTTAAAATTCAGACTTTATAGAGCAGAAGCTGTGATGTTGAGTGGTAGGTTAACTGGAGTGGAGTTTGGGGGGTGGGGGTGGGGGTGGGTTGGGGGGGTCTGATATGATGATCTAGATTAAACACTTTGCTCTTTAGAACATACCCAGCCAAAACTATTCTTATACAGTTGATTGGTGTTGGCAGATAGGTATATATTCATAAAGCACGGTGAGGTTTTGTGCCATTCGACGTCACTTTTCTGAGTGTAGGCCGTAGAAACAAAGTCACGACATTACAGTTCCTGTGAAAAGAGAAGCTGACCCTGCTGGTGTTTGTCACTTGTGGCCGTGGGGACTGACACTAGTGTGCATGGCCACTCTTTCAATTCACACTTTTTGACAGTTCTCGCGTATACCCTACCCTGGACAAAATTAGGAAACGGTCAGGTTCCTTATTATTTCAGCTGCCTCCACAGTTAGTTACTGGCTTTACTCGAACATTTTGCTGCATATATTCTCTTATTATACACTAAAAAATACATGTACGTAATATACAGCTTTAACAGGTATGGACGCTTTTACAGGTGAGAAGATGCAATAATTTAATTTTACAACTTGTGTTGTGAGTGTATTTACCTTGTATCAGTATAATATTGGGCGTCCAATAGGTGCTTTAAGTAGGGCAGATACAGTAAACTATTTATTAAATGTTTGACAGAATATTAATTGACAACTGCTTGAATAATTAATCATTAATCAACATTTAATCAAGCTTCTCAAATGTGAATATTTGCAACTTTTCCTTGTCCCACATTATAATTAACTAAATACTTTGTGGTTGTGGACTGAAAAAAAGGAGACTTTTACCATTTTATAAACCAAATGACAAACTAATTAATCAAGAAAACAACTGGCAGATAAATCAGTAATGAAAATACTTGTTAGTTGTAACTTTCGAATTAAACTGGTTTATTCAGGCTAAAAGAGACGTTTCACTTTTAATTCCAAACCACCACTGACCATGGCCTAGTTATAGTGTCTGTGGTTGACAGTCTACAGGCAAAAATGGTGTGTCTGTGTGTGTCTGGAGTCATGAGAAACACATGCATCAGTTTACAAGAACAAAAGCTGCTTTGTTACTTAGTGCATTTCAGGCTCACATTTATCAATTAGGCTGATTTGTTTTGACAAAGTGGCGTTTTATTTGTGTAATATAATATCAGGGCTGTTAGTTATTTTAGGTACATTACATAGTTTTTGCTGTTTCCTTTTCACCTGCACCTAATGTAAGCTGCGGAAACCATAGATGTTGATGCAGATATCACACCACCGGTCTCAGGCTGACAGGCGTGGGTAGAATGCGCAGCTAATAGCTAAAACTGAGGAATTCAAAACTCTTATTTGATATTCAATCATTTTAAATTCTGTTTCAACTTACCTGTTGAATCTGCAGGATATTTATCCTTTCTGAACCCGGAAGACAAACCCCCCCCCCCCCGTCCATCAATGTTAGAATTTCTGTCAAGTGTGACAAAGCAAACGGATGCGGAATTCTACTGTTGCAATGTTTGATCACTGATCTCAGAACACTCATTCATTCCCTTGAATTTGTGATGATCAGATAGAAAAAATGGGAAGGAAGGGACATGACAGAACATGACGTTTGTTTGGGGATTTCTTCACCGAAGTGTCGTCATGGTTATAGTGGCAAAACGTGGGGAAACAAACTTTAGTTTTATTCATTGGTTCAGTTCAATTTACTGCGTGTTACGTTATGAGGTCCAAAACCGAGCTAAATTAAAATAATGTGTGTGTCTGCTCTGCTCTAAAGTTTAATGGTTTAACTGATCACATTTACATTCTGTAAAACTGTGATTAAAATAAACGCGCCGCATATTATCAGAAGTTAATATTACAGTTGAAATTTGTTTTAACAGTCTCCAATCAGTCTGAACAAGTTGGATATTAAAAGAACAAAAATGGATATATAACACATCAGGTATATGGCGCACTGGCTGCGCATTTTTAAGTCAGAGAATTAAGTGTGAGACGGAGCATGGTGGATAGACACATGAGCAAATCAAACAAAGACGTAACTTTTATTATTTTTACCTGATGGTCCGAAGACTGAAACATCATTAATAAAGTACGATGGAACAATAATTTAAATGCATATTTCATTAATAACTTAAAAATGTTTTAAAAAGTATAACTATCCAATTAAATACAGGGTCGAGAAAAAAATTCGCATAAATGAGATATACCTGTGCGATACACTGCACAGCCCAGACGAAGACATTGCTCAAATGCTTTTCGTTCAGTAACTGCTAACCTGTTCCAAACATTTGGACCGTGTCTTCAGAAATACCTCTAGAGCCAGTGTCAGATATTTCTGGGTGAAGACATAACCATGTGGCACTGTGCTTTTGTGGTGAGTTTGCTTGTAATTTCTGCAGCACAATTCTTTTCTGTACCAAGGGTTAAAGACACATAGAGCCCCTCTGCAGTGGGAGTCTTTCAAAGCGTGTGCTTGTCAGGCCAAGCGGCACTAAAAAGCTTGTGGCCATCGCGTTAGCTGTGCAAGCGACATTTCTTTGAGTAGTTGATGAAAAATGATGCATGACTCAAACACTGCATCTAGAGGGGACACGCAGGAGAAGTTAGCGTTATCCCTTGTGTACACAAACACAGCTCTTTCTTTTCGCAAATAAAGATGGTGTCCGTCTCTTATGTAACCTGTAACTTATAACTAATTTTTAAGAATTGTAATTATCTGTGATATCCATTTATGTGTTAACATGGACAGTGGTGGCAGCATCCATCGTATTTTTCTTTAATATCCATTAAACCTGGGTGCAAAGTTAAAGCTTATAGGGTTGCCTACACAGTATCAAAAAGTTGATCAGCAGAATGATCAGCAATAAAAGAAACGATCATCTGTAAAAGAGACAAGCTCCACAAAATATAGTAAACATCAAGTATTAACTTCTGTAGACAATATCTTCAAATGCAGAGAAATAATAATGAATCGTCATGCACCCTAACCCTCACCCATCGCTGTCTCACTGTTGGCCGGTTGTCGTGCTTTTCTAAATATGGCCGTGTAAAAGAATTTGTCGACCATTTCTCAGCAAAAGGAGATACCTCATTTTACTGGACTTATTCAATTTCCGTTTTGTTTACCCTCTGTATTTCTATCACAGTTAAAATAAATAGATAAATAAAAGCTGTTATGCCACAGTAGTTGTACATAAAGTGTCACGCTTATATCTTCTCTTTAAATATTTCTCCTGACTGTATATGTGCTATTCAAGATTTTATATGCAGTTTGCTTTGTACATTGGTTTTTTATGTAATGGCAGCTGTTACTGTTTGTTTCACAATCTGAAATGGGGCCACTGCCACTACTCAATAATAGAGTTTTGTAAATGACAGAAGTACCATCATTGTGACCCACGGACATGATTATCACATGACATGACACAATGTGACATTGGTGTACACCAGATTTCTTATTTCTGATATGCTGATGCAACAGTAAAGCAAAGTTTAAGATGGCAGAGCCCTGATTTGAATTTATTCCAGTCTGTTTTATGTAAAAACAGTGGATTATTAGATAGCTGTAACAACGATAATAACATATGTTGTTATGATTTTGCGCCTGATAAGTTGTTCTCCTGTGTTTCCTCAGCGGCTCTTGCAGAACCTGAGATCTGTTATGTGCTGGATGGTATTCTGTTTTTGTACGGCATCATCCTGACAGCTCTCTACTGCAGAATCAAGGTTTACATGTTATACATTTGCTTTTACAGAAACATACAGGGACCAGAACGGAACCTTTTCAATACATTTTATTCTATACTGCATAACACAAATTATAGATATGTGCAAGAAAAGAATCATTTCAAAAGGAAACAAAGCCCCACGAATCTGATACATAATTAATGTGTGGGATGACACCCGTAAAATAGGGTGTCATCAGCAAAGTAAAACATTAGAAACATTCAAAAAGGAAAACAAAAAAGTCTTAAAAATATTTTACCTGAATGTAGTACTGCCATACACTCATAGGGTGGTGTACAATAAGAAAGAAAAAAATATATTTTAATGTGAAATAATGATTGAAATTAATGAAACTAAAATGTTTGCTCCTAAAATAAAACTCAAATGAACTTCCTTGTCTTTTGAGGATGCACTGTGATGTATTCCTGTTTAAGTGCTGGGTCAATAAACTGAACTGATATAATATGAAAACTAGAGACTATCTTGCGGTGGGATCACACCAGCATGTCAACATGTCGACGTTTCGACCCATAAGTACTCAGTAGATATTACTACATTATTGCTACGTTATTACATGAGTACTCAATTCAGTTGTGATGGTATTGTGTTGACACAATCCTTCCACAGACATAAACACCACGTCTTTGGTAGTTCCTGCTATAGTAAGGGTCTCCGGGACCACATTTCACACACACACACACACACACACACACACACACACACACACACACACACACACACACACACACACACACGCACACAATATTGTCCCTAATTTGACCCTGTGTTTTACAGATCTGCAATGCAAAAGAGGCTGAAGGTGGGAAAGGAAAGCCAAAGCAGGTAAGAAAGAATGCATACAGACATAGACATAACATGGCATGTTTTCTAAAATACATATAGAGGCGTTGGAACAAATGCCAAATACCAGAGACACACAGACAACTCAACACAGCACAAACTAGAGGCAGTGCTCCTCTGCAGACAACAATAATGTCAATTGTCAGGTCAATCTTCAGTGGGAAACAGTGAAGGGAACATGAAGAATCAAATTAGTACTTCACATGTCCGCATGCACGCATTGTTTTTTTTTTTTGTTTGTTTTTTTTTCATCAGAAGGGCTGTACTGACAGGGTTTGTGGCAAGTCAGACTGCTGGGAAAAAAAAGTTTTTATTTCCTGAGATGACCAAGAAGAAGCAGTCAGACCCAGCAGCTGTCACATCACCAGCCACCACTGCACTATATATATATATTCCCTTCTCTCTGAAGAAGCCACACTTTCAGAATAAAACGGACAGAAAAATAAACGTAATTGTAGTTTTTCGAATACGTTTCAATTTTTGCCCATGTTTGCAGGTGGCTGGAAATACAAGTATGATAAGGAGCCAACATTTAGTATAGAACATTATGAAATATATACATCAACCAATGAGTAATAGTGAAGTTTTAGATCATTATGATGCTGCAATTTGAGTGTCATTTTTGCACTCCACCAATTTTGCATGTCAGAGTTGATCTAAGTGATCTCAGTTTGGACTTGGACACTTCTTCTTTTAACAGGAAAGACTTAGTAAAAGTTGGTTCAACTATGGTAAATGTAGGAAGCAGTTCTAATGGATCTTGGCTAATACTTATCACCATTAGAAAACATCTGCCTCTTTCACGATTGTCTTTCAAAAGTCCCTCAACTTCAGGGAAGTGAAACACTAAGCCTTTAATTTCCAAAATTGATCAACATGGACGGAATATAAAATTTTAGGTAACACTTTACAATCAGACTACCCTAAAGGATTTGTAAATTGTTTATAATTAGGATACTAATTTGGTTGTTAACACTTTACAAATCATAAACGAACAATTATAAACAAACACTGTTTTCATACATTGATGCAGATTAATGAGTAGTAAGCATTAACTTAATCTTGCCAAATAGTGAGCCTGCATCAGTGTATGAAAACTGTATTTATAATTGTTTATTTATGATTTATAAAGTGTTAGATTTATATACATAGATTTATAAACAACCAAGTCAATAATCTACTTATAACCTATTTATAGGTCCTTTATAAATGTATTCTTATTGTAAAGTGTTACGAAATGTTGCATAAAAAATACAAAAAGCAGCTTTAATAACATCTTTCACTCTTTCTCTTATGACCATGATAGTCATATGATAATCACGCTCTTGGTTCTAAGTCTAACTTTCTCAGTGTACAAAGCTAGTTTTTCTTTTTGTTGCAGGACCTCTAACCACTAACCTGCAGTTTTAATGCTTTGCCCTTTTTAGTCTATTATTTCCTATATACCAGCCACAAACTGCTCATAGCCCAACCCACACAGACACAGACACACACACACACACACACACACACACACACACACACACACACACACACACACACACACACGAACCATGCACACTCACGAACCATGCACACTCACGCACACACACACGCACACACACTGTGTAAAGTGTACAGATCTGATGTGGGGCTTTTCCTGGCATGCATCACTTCTCTTATAGCTTGTTCTTATTCTTCTTTTTTTACACGGTATTCATACATACTGTACATTCACACAGCCAAAACATGCAGAAAGACTCTTCTTCAGTTTTATGTGTTATGTTTACTGTATCTAATATTGTTCTTTCTTACCCCCAGAATGTTGAAGAGGGCATCTATATGGTGAGTTTCTAAATCATAAATGAGGTAAAAGAGGTGAAAGACAGCTGTTGAAATATTGAATAATAATGAAAAATATTAAATTACACCTATTTTCTCCCTCTCATCTGTCTTCCTGTCAGGGTCTGACCCCTCATGCCCAGGACACATATGAAACCATCGGCATGAAGAAGTGATGTGATGAGTCAAAAATCCAGGACAGCAATTTCCTAGCTAATTCCCTGTTTTATATTTCTTTTTATTCTATTTGATTTTTTTTTCATGTATTTAAATATTGCCTTTTATACTCTTTATACTTTATACTATGCATATACTTGGAGAGAATGTAAGATTGTGTGTAGCAGTGTTCATTTCCCGTTTGCTTTGGTAGAATCTGTGGAAAGTTAAGAAAGACGAGACAGAAACAGGGAAGTTGAGCCCAGGTCAGTTCTTTCTCAGAAATACTCACCCTTGTTGTGTAAGATATTTTTTTCATTTAACTGCTCTGTCATATTTAATTTTTGAACGTATATTTTTGTATGTGTGAATAAGAAAGACAAGAATCCACCCTGCCTTTATTATCTACCTTTAGGTTTTATCTCTTGCAGGGAATTGAAATCATCCTTAGTGCTTTACAGCACAGAACAGAAAGATGTTACTTTTCCTTCAGAGATGTCTCTAAAAGTATAGTTTTGGGAAAGATTACAGATTATAGATGCAGGTAAGGAAGTGAGCTGTATTTCCTCTACACCACAGGATGGCAGTGATGGTGTCTTTGGTGTGGTCCTTACTTGTCCACATTCACAACACACACACACACGCACACACACGCACACACACACACACACACACACACACACACACACACACACACACACACACACACACACGCACACACACACACACACACATAGAAATGAAAGAAATCACACAGACTGCTGTAAAAGCTATTTAGTATGTGAATCCCTGCCTGTATGAAGCTTAGAGTTGTTATTTTTATACATCTATGAAGTTTTCTATGTGCTTATGTGGCAAACCTTAACAGCCATAAACAACCACATAAATGATTAAAAGTAATAGTTTTCTGGTAGTGGTTTGACTACAATGAAGCTAATAAAGATTTATTGTATGTCAGTCTGAAAAGATTTTGTCTGTGTCTTTAACATGTAACCAATAAAGATGAAAAGAACTGCAACTGTGTGATGATGTGAGGAAAAGAAATGAAGCAAAAACCAACAGTGTGATGTGCAACTGATTTATGAGTTGGCTAAAGATGATATAATTAAATCTGGAATAAACCATTAAAGTTCCCATACTTTACACTTTTCCAGTGTATTATTTGAAGTTTTGATATTCATGAGAAGATATATTTGTGGTTTAAACCATCTCAATCATATTTTACATCTCCTCTCTCAAGCTTCTCTCTGTAGCTGTGGCAAGAACAGGGCATTTTGTGTCGGTCTCTGAGCCTCTCTTCTGATTGGCTGACCTTTTTCTGCGTGATGCAGGTAAGGTAAGGGATTGTAACTTACTACAGTAGCTTGGTAAAACTCACTGGTAAAAGCAAATGGTGATGGTCAGTCTGTGCTGAAATTATGTGGACAGATGACAGAAATTCAGTATTTCAGTAAAAATAACCTTTGCCACTGGTCTTTAATATGACTTTTTTTGGGGAAGGCTGTGCAATGATTATATTTGATTTGATTCCTGACATCCAATGATTGTGCAGTGTTTCTGTGAGATTTTGTAGCTATCCAGCTCAGTGACTGAATAACTGCTTGGTATTGTATTGTTAATAAAGTTAAAACAACAACAACAAAAAGGTTGGACAGTGAGTCCAGCTGGACCATATTGAGGGTGGTGACTACTTTGTAGTGACATCACAAAGTAACAGAGGTTCTGAAAGCTCGTTTTAAGGCTCAGTTTCTGAATCTGTATACTTGTCCATGGATTGAGCGCTTAGATATTTTCACAGTATTTGTTTAGCACCTAGACCTGCTTTATAATCAAAAAATAGATCTACATGGAAATCATACTTAATGTTTTGATTAAATAGTTGTATAGATTTGAGATTTAATGCTCCAAAACTGGGCAGATTGGTTTATTCCTGCTTATGTTCATATTTTATAACAGCACAATGAATGTCTGTGCTCGTCTCCTCGTCTCATATTTCCGATTATCCCCTTTAAAATTAAAGGATTAATTTGTTTTTCTCCCATGGGAGGGGACACCTTTAGCTTTGGCATCGGTCCGTCTGACGCAGTTTAAACGGACTCTCCATGCCTGCTTTTCACCTGCCTCTCCTCTCTGCAGAGCAAGTAAAGACGAGAAAATAACTGTCATGTTGCCCTAACCAAACCGGAAAGGTGACTTTTAGCGCGTGTGTGCGCGCTGAGTGTCTGTGGTTAGGTGAGAGAGAGAGAGCGAGCGAGCGAGCGAGCGAGCGAGATAGAGAGAGAGAGAGAGAGAGAGAGAGAGAGAGAGAGAGAGACAGAGGGGTGGCGCGGGTAGGGCAAACAGGTGTATCCAAACAGGTAAAGCTGCGCCTTCTTTCTCTAAAGGACAAACATTATGGCGTGTGCTTAACAAACTGAGGATTTACATTTTTCATGAGGACTTGGTGAAGATTAATATAGATACTTTTTTTTTTGCCCAGAACGGGACTTTGGAGAGGATCTGGTCCCAGAAAAACACCCTCACCAAGGATGATCCGGCAGCAGGAGGCATGAGTCCGCCTCAGTGCTTCATGCATGCCTGTCATCTAGGATATTATTACCTGGACTGATGAGCTTTATCCCAGCGCTGAAATTGTCCCAACTTGTGCTCAGTTAACAGTAACTCCCGGGGAGAATGACATCTCTGCTGAACAGACTCTCCCTGTGTCTCTTTGTCCTCCGGATCTTTGGTAAGAGGACTTCACATGGAGTCTGTCCAAACCGTATTCTTTCAAGGCTTATGTTTGTGTCTTTATGTTGTCTGCTGTCAGATACATGATATTACTTCTGCACTGTCCAGTAGGTCTGCTCATGATATCAATACAACAGATGTTTGTCAGGAGCATTGGAAATTAAGCAAAACTAGGTAATGGAAATGTTCTATTGAAAGAAAACTCAATTGCTTATGAAAGCTGACCAATAACTGTCCCATTGTATCTCATGCATATTCAGAAGCTGTAAGTTCTGTACATGTTGGGCAGCTTTTCTCAAGAGCAGACACAGCAGGAGCAGTGCGGTTAAAGAAAAACCCTTGTGGTGCTGTCTGATATTTCAGGAAAAACAGGTTGCTGTAGAGACCCTCCTAGTGTGTGTGTGTGTTGTTTAAGCCTAAATATATGTGTCCATGTGATAAATGCTGTAGGTCTATGCATGTCAGCATCAGAAAGTCTGTCTACTGTACACAGCGTGCTGCACTGTATCAACCTATCACTTATTAATTAGGTAAAGTCATAAATATATTTAGCAAAAGACAAAAACAGTACTTTCACAATGTCAGACAATGGTAGATACAAGTGTGGCATAAAATAACAACGTTTAATTCCATACATAAAAGCAGCATAGGCTGAGGTGTTATTCCAGTAATGCAGCACAGGCAGATTCCACTGAGTGACAAACACACTCATGTCGTTGTGAGAAAAACACACACACCTGTCTGCAGAGTACACTCATCAGCTCTGATGGTAAATGCATGAATCACAACCTCACCGCTGACATATCTGAACAGATTCTCCCACATCACGTACTGAATCAACACCTGTAAGAGTTGCTCAGCACTCCCTCTCTCTCTCTCTCCCTCTCTCTCTCTCTCTCTCTCTCTCTCACATGCACACACTACTTGCTACAACTTATGGTGTCTGTGACAGCGGATTTAATAACTTTTCCAGGGAAATCAGTTTGGATTAACAGGACGGATGGGACAGATGATGTAACACTCAGCTCTTGCAGTGTTATCAATAAATGCATAAGCAGCACGTTAGTGCAACAAAAGGAAACTACACTGTGAAGGAATTTTTTTTTAAATTCAGTTATCTGACTTTCTATTTTTTAGTAGCCACATGACCAGCAGCTCTATATGGGCGGAAGTGTTGGGCAGTCTGCTGGTTGGTTTTTCCACCACCTCGGTCCAGGATGTAGTGACATGCAATTTGACATTCATGATCCTCAGAGGATGAATCTTAACGACTCTGGTGATTGCCTGTCATTTGGTGGTTTTGAGTGAAATGTCTAAATGGATTGCCGTGAAATTTGGTTCAGACATTCAGGTTCACCTCTGGGTGAATTGCAACTTTTGCGATTGCTTAATTTTCCATATATATTCCATATATTCCACCATCTGGTCAAAAAACACTTCACTTTATGACTAAATACATGCAAAACTAACAGCATCCGGCCTCAGCATTACTTTGTGCTACATATTAATAGTAGCATGCAAACACACTAAACTAAGATGGAAAACTTGAAATGTTTTTTCATTGTGAGCATAGCTTAAAGCATGATTGTGCCCCTCAGAGCTGCTAACACAGCTGATGTCCTCACTCTGTCCAATACTTATGGTCAAATACCTTTAAAACTAACGACAATCCCATCATCCTCAGCTTTTTTCGTAGTTAGTGCTATCAGCTAATGTTACCATGCTAACACACTATACTTACATGGTAGCCTTATACCTTCTGAACCGTGTGCTGACGTTGACGCATGTAGCTCAAATCACTGCTGTGCTTAAGTAGCCTCAAGTTTCTTTTTGACATCGATACTTCCGACTGAAAAGTACCTTGAACTGTACGTTGATACTTTCAAATACATGCAAATTCTACACGTAACAAGTCAAAACTAGATGTCGACAGTAGCGAAACTGAAATAGTAGACTACCGTGAGCAATCAGGGAGCGATCAGTAAAAACATGTTAGAACTATTGGCTGCAGCACAGTGACTATTGTGTTTGTAAGAGCAAACAGCAGAGCAGCGATCAGAGATAAACACTTTTTCCCTAAGAGGTCATTTTAGGGGCGACTGATAAAAAGACCAGCCTGATTGTGTTTCAGCTTAGACACACATGGCCTGTCATGTTGTGTATTGATATATCATTAGAGTTTGGGAGATATCCATTTACTAAAATTCATTTTCTTTCAGCTTCAATCTTCTGAAAGTAAATCAACCACCAGCAACACGAGCCCAAACCAAAAGCACCGATATGATAATATACTGTGATCACATTTGTTTCCATTAGCAGAACTTTCACAAAGCGTAATTCAATTTTATTTAAGCACCGTGCCATGAGAAATATCCCTTGGAAACAAACAAACTTGCAGGTTGCAGGGATCCACATGTGGTGGCTGTCACACATGTGACTGTGTGTGTGTGTGTGTGTGTGTGTGTGTGTGTACGTTACGATTGCTCGAGGACAGGAGGAGATAAGGTGACACATTAGTTTGTCTACATCAGACAAATGTGATCTGTAAACAGACAGAGAGAACAAAACAGATTCCTACAAGTGGGTATCTGGGTGTTTGTGTTTTGCAGTGTTGTTGTAATGTGAGACACACAATAGGCTACATAGACTTTATGATACAGTATGTCCTGTGTTGTATGTTTCCTGGGGCCTTGTTGAATGTCTCGCTCTCTCCAGACACTGAGGTTAACTCTCTGTGAGTTTGCTTTTAAGCTTATCTCGAGCGACTAGTTAAGCGACATATCTTCACTTGTGCTCACCTCTGTTAGACAACCTGTTTTCTCTCTCCTCCCCCATTTCTGTCTGCGCTGGGTGGACTCTTTGACACCCATCTGCTCTCATCTTTCCCCTCAATTTCGACCACAGGAGGCCTAACTTGTATTTTCATGCACAACATCATGTATTTTCCTGATTAATTCTGTAAACAATAAAGATTTTTCCATCATGTGTAGCTCACACAAACTTTACTACTAAAACTTTGGTTCAGTCACAAACAATAAAAATATTACATTAAAGGAATAGTTTCACATTTTTGGGAAGCTTATCTCTTGCTGACAGTTGATGGGTAGACTGACAACCTGTATGTTGTGTGGTGAATATAAGAGACGGGAAACAGCTAGCCTTACTTCCTGCGCTTGGCCAAAAAGTATGTCACCACCATAACCTCACAAACACCACAACTTCGCCTTTTTACACTTATATACAATACAGTCAGTCAGGTTTAGAAATGCTGATAGGAGGATTATATCTTAAGACACAGCCAGGCTAGCTGGGTGTACTGGTGACCCTGTTAGCTGCTTTTCATAACCACAACTTCAAGCATACGTTATTCAAATGTAGCACTATTCATTATTAATGAATTGAAAACAAGCAACCAATGTGTTTACACTGAGAAACAATGATGGCTCCTGGTAATGTAGCATTATTCATGTTTTTTGGGAAATTAACTTTTTGCTTACCCTCCACTGCCTCATGTTTTTAGCCATAGCAATAGACTTCTTTGAGGCTGTGATACATAATCATGGAGCATAAGCCAGAAGTAACTTCTTTTTAGCTAGTAGCTAATGGCTATAGTTTAAATAATAGATGTATTATGGTTTGAACTTGAGGCGTCAGCAAAGATAAATTAATAAGGTCAGACCACATTGTTCTATTCTGTCTATCTATTATCTATCTATCTAGCGAATGAGATGATTTCCCATCTCCTACAGCTGTTGCAATATGGAAGTAACTACAGGTTTTTTCTGTCACAGGTCGAAGGTCACTGTTGGGCTCGGTGTCACTACACTGCAGATTGAAACATAATTCATCATAAAACCAATTAGCTGCACATGCTTTATGGCTGAGTAGATGGATTTACCTTCCTGTCCTTCTCCTCTTTCAGTTACAGTGATACATGGAGAGTTTATGGGGCTCCCTCCAAATGGTTCCCTACGCTCCTTGGCAGAAGAGGAGACCGTGTTGCCCTGTCGCTACCAGCCAAGTGAGAGCGGTGTGGTGGTGGTGCAGGTCACGTGGTATAAGGAGACAGAGCAGATCATCACCGCACACCACATTAACGGACAGACAGGTCAGTTGGCGCAGTGGCTCCAGTGGCATTCTCGAGTCTCGCTTCACATTCTCAGCTACATACTAAAAGAGTAACTTATTCCTTTCCTCACAGTGAGAAATCGCTTCTATATCAGAGCACTCACTCCTATATGCTAAATCCAGTGAGCACACTTTGCTGCTGATTTGTCAGTTTCAGTGTTGGTCGGAGGCTTTTTTATATAGCTTTAAGACGAGCGCTCACAACTATTTAAAAAGAACAGTGGACTGTCAAAAATTAGCACTTTATTTTTGGTTTCTTGTAATATGTTATGATTTAGTAAATGAAGCTTACATCCATTGTGAGCGTGAGTCATGTGGGATGAGACTGTGAGCTAAATGCCCAGAATGTAAATGTAATTTCAAGCATGAGTTCAGGCGTGGTGTATGGAGGTGACAAAAGGAACCCTGAGGTGCCTTTTGAACTCACTGGACTTAATCTTTTGTGTCACATCCATCCTCACACTCTCCTTTAACTCTGTCGCTCCTCATCTCTCTCCCATGTCTTATTCTCTCCCTCTCTCTCTCTCCGTCTGCAGCATTTGGGACGTGGTCTCGACGTGTGCGCTTTAGAAGCAGCGAACCCACAGTGGACTCATCTCTGGTTATCATGAGCACGGACATCTCTGATGAGGGGAAGTATATCTGCCGCATCAGCACCTTCCCCTCTGGCAACTTTGACAGTGAGATGTCACTCATCGTATGGAGTGAGTCTCTCCCTAATGCCTCTGCCATACAGTGTTATCACAGGAGCGGTAATATGTTGTACAAGGATGAAGACTGATGCTAATCCCAAAAGTCACTCCAGTCACAAAGGGAAGTGATATAACTGTCAGTGGGCTGGTTGTTACCATTCAGAGTTGCACAATTTAAGTTGTGTATACTAAAGCATGATAAGTTTTAGTACATGACTAATAATGAAGTGTCACATAATAATAACATACTTACTCATCGCCTTATGTGTCAATAGTTTTTCACACAATAAATTCATTCACTCCATATAAGGCAATAAGCACTCACACAGGAAGCAATAACTCCTGATAATATTTTATTAAGTTTTCAACCTATTTAGCTTTTTAGAGACTTGTCTTACTATATTTTTTTAACCTTTTTACATTATTATCCCACTCCAACAATTATAACCCTTATATTAATTTTCCATTTATTAGTTATTCTATTTTTAACTCTTATTCAAACTAGACTATGTAGCAGGCCAGCAGAAAAACATATTAAAAACTGAGGGTTTGCTCGTATGCAAAGAGCAAACTGTGAAGGTGATAAATGACACCAGTTTAGAAAAAAAGTAGTAACTAAAATTATTATTATTGATAATTTACACACAACACACACAACACACCTTCGTCTGCTTCATCAGGTTTGTGTGGGTGGTTTGATGACATCACAGCAAGTGACCCCACAAATGTTATCAGATTCTGATTCAAGTGTTTCTAAATTGACATTGGTGCGTGACATTAGTGACATCACCTTTCCACAACTGAACCCCGCCCACTTGAAATCAGTGGAAAAAAAAAACAAATGTCAAATAACCACAACAGTTCAAACTCTGTGAGAAAACTGTGTTCGTGTGTGACCCATAGCTCACACTAAGAAGATAACTGAGAAAGTATGTGTACAGGACCTTTTAAAGATCTCGTTAAGTCTATGTGTGCACTCATCAGTAATTGCTAGGTGCGTCGACTTATCATCACCTTCACTCTAACCAACATCCCTCCAGCCGTTCCCATCTCCTCCATCGACCCTGTGATTCTGGTGGAGGGACAGTCCTACCGACAGGCCGCTTCCTGCCGCTCCATAGGCCGCCCACCCCCCCGCCTCACCTGGGACACCGACCTGAATGGCCAGTTCACCAGCCGCTCCTCCGACAATGGGGCTGTCTCCACGCAGTACTCCCTGCACCCCCTGAGGAGCATGAACGGCAAGAAGCTGGACTGTCTGGTGTGGCATGAGACATCGTCCACCCCCCGCAGGCTCAGCAACCGCCTGGTCGTGCACTGTGAGTATACATGGACTCTTACACAGAGGTGGTGTTACGCGACAGAAAACACACACTTTGGGCAAAGAAATCGTCAAATTCAAAACATGCAAAGAACAAGAATACAACTGGAAAAAAGAAAAACATCTCAACATTTGTAACACTGTCGCAGCTTCACTTCCTTTTTTTTTTTATCACTGTGAACATCACTTCAAAGTAAGAAGAGACTCAATAAGAACTTGATCGCTTCAACACTACGCATTCCTCTCTGTATTACTCATTTTGACTGCCCATATTAAATTCCCTTTCGCTGAAATTGTCACTGTGAAACTGAAAAATGTACTTCTCTTAATTTCTCTTCTTTTCTTAAATCAACCAAAGAGCACTCTGGGATTACAGGATATTGTCAGAGTACTGTGGGTCTTTGTTATTATACTGTTGGTTTATTGCATTCATTGGAAGTTGTCCCTCATAAGTGCATCAGCTTGGATATTCAGCCTTAGCATGAAATGATAATGATAATGCCTCCTTTTTTTCTCTCACTTGCCTCGATTGCTCTAAGCACGTACATTTTTTCTTCTCCCCCCCAGTCCCTCCGCATGCAGAGGTGTCTGGCTACAATGAAGACTGGTCCATTGGTATGGAGAACGCTGCCCTGAGGTGTCTGAGTGGAGGAAACCCCAAACCACAGAGTTTCACCTGGATCAGGTACAGTAGGACTCGCCTCCCTCGCTGGCTGTCTGGTACTCGTGTGACTAACTGTCTGATGTGTCTGGTCACTGTTATTTTTCTCGTAACTCCCGGAGTGTTTATGGTAATTACTTAGAATGATTCCACCAGGGAAAAGTTTTAATGGGATGTTCAGCGAGGTTATCTCAGGTCATCCTCAGGGACCAAAAAATGACAAATTACAATTAATTTTATTCAGTAATTTTACTTTTAGTAGATTGTCTGTAACAAACATTAGGTTATTTTTTCCACTTTTATTTTTCTTTAATGTAACAGTGACAGTATCAATTTAAAGAGACAAGTTTGACAGTTTCATATGAATCCACTTTGAGAAGAATTTCAAAACTTATAATTATGACATTAATTCTAGTGATTTCAGATCCTGCTGAAACAACTGACCTATTAATGGTTAAGGCCATAGGTCCTGATCTATATGTTTCCTACTCTCTTCAAATTCCCACTAAAGGCTGAAACCAACACGTTCAGCTTGTCTGTGGTTTCCAGACACACACCCAGTCTTTTCTGCTGAACATGTAAAATGTTCAACTCATCATGAATATACGCTACATCTAAACAACAGCTGGGAACTGTAGTTTTTAGCAAATATCAATCCAACAAGGATAAATAGTGCATTGTTTGGGGACTATTTTCATCTATTTGAAGTTCTCAAGTGATAGATAGATAGATAGATAGATAGATAGATAGATAGATAGATAGATAGATAGATAGATAGATAGATTGATAGATAGATAGATAGACAACATTCTGTCCTGCCAGTATGTTGTGGAGAGGGTGGATGGTATTGTCCATGGATGGCCTCCATCTTACATTGCATGCGTGTCTCCAGTTAACAGTTCATTCAGTAAGTCCTGCATTACCTCAGCTAATAAATTCTTCCAACAAAGTATTAGTTACTTTTAAGTGTAGCTTGGTCACTAATACACTTGACTGAAACAACCTTTCACAGTGTAGTGGGGGAGGATCTCCACCCTTTCCACATGACTTAACCAAACAAGCCCTGGCATTGCCACCTCCTGATTCTGCTGCCTCAGTGGAAACTGACAGATTGAAACGTTGCGTGTCATTTAAAAATCAGTGGCTTTAAACCTCCGACAAAAGGTTTCGCTCAGAGGCCCAACTTCTGCTTGAGTCACCTGGTGTCATCTTTAAGGCCATTTCCTCTTGGTGCATGAAAATATTCTCAGGGTGTGGCGGAGAGTTTGGCCAGAAAAATGTGAGACACGAAAAGCGTCTGGGAGAGAAAGGGCTCTCATCGGGTTATGAGAGGTGACAGTTAGACCCCCTAGGGAAAAATTCCTAACACAAAGATGGGGTACGGGTTCTTAAAAATGTAAAGAAAAAATACGTTTGGTGAGGTTTCTCCTCATCTGACTTGTTTTTGCCATATGATGATGTACGTGTTACCTGTTAGTCATAGGAACACACCTTGGGAAAAGAGGCTCTGTGAGTAAGGCTCACCAGACACACACCATGCATACAGGCTTACACACTCATGAATGAGCATGTATACACACACACACACACACAAAACCAAGTCAGCACCCAAAATCTCTAGTTACAGTCAACCTCTCCTTACTCGTGCACGCTCTTTACATGAACACACACATACACACACACGGATACAGCAGTCGACAAACCTGTTGGATTTGTCAATAAAAGGCGGCAGGTGAAGTAATAGCTGGTGTCAAAGTGTCATGTTGCGGCTTGTGCCAAAAGCAGACAGATGAGACGGTTTCACACGAAGGAGGGAGGATGAGGGGGATGAGAAAAAAAAGGGAAAGGGAAATAATGAGAGAGAGTGAACTAAATGGGGGAGGGGCAGGAGGATGGGTAAGGGGGTTGCGGTGAGCCAAGAGGAGGAAGAGGAAGCAGGACGTGTGGATTGGTGCGAGATGTTATCTCAATGGTGTGCGTATGCTGCATATGTGAAAATAGACAGTTCCTCTTTCCTGCGAGAGATAGGGGCTCACTGAAACACAGTGCGCTCAAAGTTGGAGTCAGCACTTTGAATAGAAAACTCAGGTTCGTTTCGGAGCGTGCTGCTGTAGTGGCGGAAAAAACAAACCAGGTATTTCTGGTTGAAAATGCAACAGGCAGACATCAATTTCAAGTCCGTTCAAGGTGATTAGATCAAAACAACAACACTGAGGCAACACCCTGGACGGTGTTGTTCATCAAAATTTCTTGAGTCACGCTGCTAGGAAATACAGTATATGGTTTCCAAACAACACACACAACACAGAACTGAAAAGCTCATTATAAAAAGTGGCATCTTAATAGAAATAAATGTCAGTTTCAATTCAAAGGCGCCTAATGGTTATTGGCATGACAGTTTGAGAAAAAAAGCAATATTGCCAAAGTATCAAAATATAATTTTCAAAAATACTAAATACAAAATGCAACAAACAAAACCAAGATCGATTCATATGTATACATTAATTATATATACAGTACATTATTTGAGTGTGTGTGTGTGTGTGTGTGTGTGTGTGTGTGTGTGTGTGTGTGTATGTAGGTCGCTCACCGTTCCTCAAGTTGTGGCATGTTGAACTTGTACTAGATGTCATTTAGTTTGGGATTGCAGGACTGAATTCGTCAAAGTAAATTTTCCTTATTTCAGGGAATGACTACATTCTGTTTTTCTCTCTCACTGATTAAAGGGTGAGGTGTCTTATGTTTAGGTTGAAATGAAAAGCAGAAATGGATGTTAGTTATGATCAGTTATAGGCAACATGGCTGAACAAGAAGGAAGAGTGCACCATCTATGGAAATTTGTATGATTTCTTTTTGTTTTGTTTTTTTTTTGAAGGGAGGGTTGAGAATTGATTATAATCTCTCCACCATCTTCTGACATTTTTCTCTGACACCTGAACATGAAGCAAATTGACATCCAAGTTCCAAGTAAAGGGTGTCAAAGGCAAACTGCCAACATGTAAGTGTCAAAAACTGCAGTTCCTCTAATAGCCACTTGAGGCTGGTTCCAAAAGCGAGTCAATCCCCATAGGCTCCCATGTTAAAATGTCCAACTTTGTTGTTACAGTCTAATACAAAAAAAAAGGTTTTAATGGCTATAGCTAATGACAACTGTACAGGGGACTGAATTTTTGTATAACTCACCTGATTAAATTTTATTAAGACTTAAGGTTGGTATAACTGTGGGCGTGTTGCCTTGAGTGACAGGTGACCGGTATGCTTGCCACAAACCAGCATGCAACAAAGTTTTAACTCCACACACGCCCTACCTCTTTCACCATTTTTGGATTAGTTAGGTCAAGTCAGACACCGCCAAGATGGCGACAGCTAGCAGGCCGCTCTGAGCTTCAAAAACCGATCTTCAGAAAACTGTTGTTACAGAGGCTACGGCCAACTGTATACAGTCTATGGTCAAACATGTAAATATAAAGCAACAGTGGCAGCTCTTGGTTCAAAATAAGACAAAAAGTTTAGCTAAAAATATTCAGTAAACAGGATGCATTGTTTTGTTAAGTTTCCCACAATCGCTGATTCCACCTCTGCTGTGCGATGAGGTCACGAACAACAACCCAGGAGGTCCATGTGTTGATCTAAATGCTCCGTAATGTAACTTTGTCTTGTATCTTATTGTGTTTGCAGAAAAGGTGGACAGCTGCCAGAAGGTGTGATCGCCCACCCTAACGGAACACTAGCTTTTGGGCGACCCCTAAACTCAACAGATAAAGGCATCTACGAGTGTGAGGCGAAGAACGAGGTGGGAGTAGGCAAGGCGGAGGTGGAGATTGTCGTGACAGGTAGGTGACAGCACTGTCGACATGACAGATTGAGACTTGTCATAATAATAACACACAGGTATATACATCCATCTCATCCTGCATATGTCCCTACTCACTCTCTGCAGACTCTTTGGGGGACCACGACGTGCCCGAAAACATGCTGATGCTCATCGTGTTGGTCGTGTCTGTCGGGCTGCTGATCTTGATGATCGTCATCGTCATCACAGTCACGTGCCACCACAAGCGCAAGAACCTGAAGCTGGAGAAGGAGCTGACTGAGAGGAAGTATGTGGATATAACACCATGTTTAATTAAGATGAGATAAGATGAGATCAAACTTTTAATAGTCTCCGTAGGGCAGAGCGAGGCAAAGAGGATGGAGCGAATCGGGGCTTATTAAGCCTATTACAACTGACAGCTACAACAGCAGTGTGTTAAGTAGAATTAGAGGAGTGAGAAGTGTGATATTCAGCTGATAAATGACTGTGTAGGCGAGATGTGCAAAGTAACAACAAGGAAATGGAAACAAATGAAAGAAAGTATGTACATTATGGGATTCACTTCAATCATTTAAACATCTTTTTGCTTTTTTCTCTCCGTCTTGTTTCTCACAGGGAGGAAATAACTACTCTCTCCAGGCAAGCCTCTTTCAGGAGAATGAACTCTGTCAGCACAGATACCAGAGGAGCGGTACTATTACTGAATTATTCTTTTCACTCTGCAGCATCGTCTTGTGCTTTCTCTTATTTCTGCACGACCTGATTCAGGCTGTGAGACTCTGATCAAAATCAGTAGAGTGTTTCACACGATTATTTATTCAAAGATTCCTCAGAAATCCTCCAGATTTCACTGTGATGAATACTTAATTCTGTGCTCTATGAACATGGCTGTCAGCCAGTTGTGGAAATGAGTGAGTGGGTTCGGACTCTTTGAAAGGGGATGATGTTTTATGCACAAACTTTTTTTTTTTTTTTTTGAGTTATCTTGAGTCCTCACAGCTAAATCCTTCCTTCTGTTTCTTTGACTTGCAGACAGAGGAAAACATCCCTCTGAGGGTGGAGGGAACCCTGAGGACCAGCCTGTCTTCCCTCGGGGTCAGTCTAAGTATCTATCTAACTCTGCATGCAGGGCCAGGGCCGGGGCCGGGGCCGGGGCGGGGGGCGGGGGGCGGGGGCGGGGGCCGAGGGACTGGGGCTTTACTGTCCAGAGGCCAGGCAGCTGGTATGTATTTTATGTAATTGTTTACAGTTAGTTTTATGAGCTGGAAACGCCATTAAACGCCTGGTATATAAGAATGGTACTGCCCCTATTTCAAGTGAATTTTCATTCAACAGAGATAAAATTCTTAACAAAGGATTTAAATCTCTAGTATCAAGCCAGTTATCAGTTTCAGAAAATGCTTATACCAACAGTTCAACCTTATGAGAAATTCACCAGTTTGCTTTTTTGCTGAGAGTCAGATGTTGGAAACCAGAAAGTAATTGCGTGCGGCCAAGAAACAGTCCAACGCTAAAACTTCGACATGTTTTTCTTACACTTCTGCTTTTTCATATATTTATATGACATGTTCATTTGTGGTCTGAAGAGGGGCTGGACAAAGCTAGGCTAAATGTTTCCCCTTGTTTCCAGTCTTTATGCTAAGCTAACAGCCTCCTGCCTGCACACAGTTATCCATCTTCTCATCTAACTCTCAGCAAATAAGCATATACGTAAAACAAGTTGCATTAGAGGTAAATGAAGTTCTCTCAGTACGACCTGGTGGGCCTGCTTTAAATAAATAGCACTCTATCACTAAAGACACGAAACTTTAAAGGTTCCATGTAAAGGTAGATTTCCATGTCTTCTTTGATTATAAAGCAGGTCTAGCTTCTATATTAATACTGTGAAAGTATCAAAGCGCTCAGTCCACAGAGAAATGCACACAGCCTGTATTCAAACACTGAGCCTTAAAACCAGCCGTCAGGACTTCTGTAACTTTGTGATGTAACAACAAAGCATGCACCGCTCTCAGCCATGCCCCAAGCCCTGTCCACCTGGACCCACCATCCAACCTTGCAGGATTTGGTTTTTGTGTTTTACCTTAAATCTGCCATATATTTACTCAAACACTCAGAAAACAGAAGAGAGGCTCAGAGCCTCCTCTCTTCTGATTGGCTAACCGACCTGTGGTCACTAGAGCTCCAGAGAGAAGCCTGAGAGAGGAGATGTAAAACTACACTGAGATGGTTTTTACACAAGATGGGCACATGACAATCGGAACCAACCAATTTATCCGTCTCCCGTTCTGCACTGACAGGAGCAGACTCACTGCCGTGACAGCCGATCTACTATCTCAGGTGGGCGTGGAGGAGGAGGGGGAGCTTTTGACTACCTGGGAAGACCAGTCCTGCACAACAACTCGAGGAGGGGGAGAGAAAGGCTTCTGGATAGAGATGAGGATACCCGACTCAGAGTGGAGACATATGTGAGAAACAGCACTATGTCTTTAGTAAGTGTGTCTCTGTGCGTGTGCATTTCTGGGCATGTCAATACGTGATTTCACCCAATTGTGGAATGCATCTCACCCAGCTTATTAACCTCTGCATATTTAGCTGATGATGATGAAATTACTAAGTGTGTGTCCGCTCTTTGTCTTTGCAGCAGGAAACCCGTTTCCACCCTCCTCTCACGCCATCGGCTTTCCCCATGGTGCAGTCCACTGAGGTTGTGAGACAGCTAAACGGCAGCGCCTCTATCCCGACAGACGGGGGCTCGCGGCCAGGAAGCGTGGCCAAAAATCACCAGCACCCTCCCATGAGCTGCAACTACCCACCAGTGACAGACGATGAGGATGAAGTGGATGAAGGTTTGGGGGGTCCTGCCAGCCAGGAGCATCCCGATGACCAATACAGCGAGACTAACAGCTCCCAGGTGTCCGAGGCTCACAGTACACGCTATCAGCAGACTAATGGCACGCTGAGGCCCAAACCCCGACCGAGCCCCACTATGATCAGCCCCCACGCCTCCCTGATCCACAAGGCTCAGATAGTTTAGCAGGAAACATAACACGTGAAACCGCAGAACTGACTAGCTCTGGTCCTGGAGGTGGTTAAAACCCAGAAAACCAGTTTGTGGTTCCTTATGAAAAATCTGCACCTCGACTACAATGATGCGTCTTCTTTATTGTGTGGGAACACGGTGCAAGACAACAAAGTCCTTCAGGAAAAAAAATATCTACATCTGCTGCACATTTCTGGATTTCTGATCAGCAGTGTTGTTGTGTTTACTGGCACAATCAAAGACAAGGTCGCAATATTTCCAGCGCAGCTACTACAGCTTTGATCGCACACAATATTCCTTGCTCATCTTTCACAAATACACTATCTGCCGCGCTAACAAGCTGTAACTAACAGGTCAATGCCACTGACATACCTCCTGTGCGGGATGTCGCAAACACTCAAGGGCACATACAGTATGAAATCAGGAAATGCAGGTGATGGCTGTGGGAAAGTTGGTACATCAGAGAAGTAGATTGCAACACCTCAGTGCTGAGGGTGGATACTTTTTTTTTTCTTTTTTTTTTTTTTTTTTTGCTTCAGTGGTATTCAGGACCTGTGCCTGTGTTGAATTCTCTTACACAACACGGCTCGGGATCTGATCTAAACCATGGGGCTGTTGCTCTCTTGCCACACCTGCACCATGCATACCTCCATATTGTCTTACTGTTCTTGTGCCTCTGCCTTAAGCACTGAGACAGTTGGGATCAGATAAAGACTTCATACGACCAAAACATACCTAATGTGTTCTCTGTAGTGATTTGTAAATCTGCACAAATACACAAATGATTTTTTTCTAAACTTTTTGAAATGATTTTTTCTAACACTTAAATTCAAGTAAGTAAATTAACATATCAACACATTCAATATATCTACCCTCTTGTTTCCGCATGTCCCCAATTCCTCACCACCCTCAGATCTGCACCTGCATTCACACATACACCTAAAGTAGATAAATAATGAATATACCCTGCTGCTGTGTTGCAAGAATAAAAACTGAAACACTGTTTTACATGTTAAATATGTACATACAACATGTAGCTTCATGAAAGCTGGAAAAGCCAAATATTTGTAAAATACATTCTAGTGAGTGTTTTTTTTTTTTTATTATACATCACTGTATTGCTTGTAATGGCTTCTTGTATAATCTGTACTCACTGGAGACCATGGAAACAACATACTCAGTAAGTCATTACAACTGTGGACAGACCCTATCTGTACCTTGTAAAGTTTCTTCTTCGACATCCAATGATGACAGGACGATGCCCCTCCAGGATTGATTTGTCATTAACTCTAACAGTTACAGTTTTGGTACTGGTACTGGTACTGTTACAGTTTTATTTTTTTTTTGTGTTTATGTGTTCTGAATATTACTGGGTTCTGTTACAGCCCTGATACGGGAATTAATGTGCCAAAGGGATAATACAATAATAATAATAATAATAACAACAATAATAATAATGATAATAATAATAATAATTGCTTTTTTGGCAAATATGAAGTATTATTTTATTACACATTGGTATTGTGTTTCTATAAATACAGCTTTATCCTAGATGAATGTCGGAAGTTAGAAATGTCAGGTTAAAAGTCTGCTGTGGCAAAAGCAATGTGCCATATTATCTGCTAGAACCCAACAGGTAAGAGCAGCAGACAAATGGTATTATGTTCAATGCAGACTGTATTTGTTGCAGACAGTGCCCCCTGATGTGTACTGCTGGAAAGTGCAGGGACTTGAATGAGCCTACAAACTGCAAAACTACTGAACTATGAAAGACTCTGCATTCCACTGTGACTTTGGAAAATGATCTTCCTGGTGACGTGCCTGGATTTTCATTTATTTTGAGGGCTACGTATTGGTATCAGCTTGTATTGATTGGTTTGAAATAAATGTGCATGTTCTTTTTTAAAAGTACACTGAAACTTAAATGCTAACACAGGCTTTTCGATAAATACTATTTTCTTGATCATCCAAATATGGGGGGTTTACACTGATACTTATTCTTATGTGCTTAGAAATTGAGTCGAATCCCTACACACTACACCAATTAGTGTGTCAATTAGTTATTATTATGTATTCAATTAGGCATTTCTATTACACACAAATTCATTCAAGAATAAGCACTATGTAAGGATCTACTACAAAATGAAAGGTATTAAAGCTACATTTTGATGCTTACCATTGTGACATAATGGGTTACAATGGGAGGAGTGGCCTTTATATTTTTTCTTTACATTGTGCTTTAGTATTTATGTTTCACCAAAAACATCATACCCAAGCAAATTGATTGTTTACCCACTTTAACTGGATGACAATCCGGTTGTGGCCCTCTGTCCAGTTCGGGTATTGGGTTCTTATGCAATTATTTTTTTAATGTCACACAATAAACAAATAAGTAAGTAACTAAGTAAGTAAATAAATAAATACATTTAAATAAATAAATAAACTTTACTCTTTGTTAGCTACCGCCCGGAAGTGTGTAATGAATGAGGTCATGCAGAAGGAGGAAACAGATCTCGACAGCTAAGATGGCGGAGGAGCAGCAGGAATCATCACAGGGAGAGATGGAGGGTGAGAGAAACAGTTACGGCGCAACATATCCAACAAACAGCGCGGTCATTTCGCGTGTTAGTGCAGCTCGTACCCATCCGAGTGTCTGCTCGCTGTTCGAGCCCCTGCCCTGTCCCGGGGTAAAGTGTGCTGACATGCAGCGATGCTGGGGAGCCAGAGAGGCCAGAGCTTGTTGGCTAACGTTAGCTAGCTACCATTGCTACACAAAGAAAAATAGCCTTGTTTAGTTACTGACACGGCGACAGTAAATGACAGTCGCAGAGTTTTTCACCTAAGGAAATGTTGAAAGTGTGGGCTTAATGGTAAGGATGGTGCAAGCCATTTTTGTTAGCTAAAAAGACGTTATTCGTCGTGACTCGAATTTGTTTTGTTTTCGCACAGGTCGAGCTAGCCAAGTTTAGCTGAGTGACGGTGGCCGGTGTTGTGGATTAACTTGTTTTCATGTTAACTGCTGACCACGGCCTGAATGCGTCTGCTCGTGGTGACTGCAGATGTTGAGTACAGGAAGAGAAAATATAGCTGCTGTATTGTTGCCTTCATTTTATTTAATATTTAAAACATTGCTTAACCCCATCTGATTTTATTTACCTGAGTGCAGCGGTTTCACCAACCAGAAAAAAACTCACCTGTCCCATTTTAATGTCAAATTAAAAATTGAATGTCAATGGAGACTAATAAACAAAGTCTGCTCGATGTACATATTCGAAGAATAATTCCGGAGAGAAGAGTTAATATGCAAGATGAATCAAATTATTAAGTTGTTGCTTTTTTCATGGACATGGTCAAAACGCATTGCAGGTGCATTATGCTTGGATAATATTACAAGACAAAATCGAGCTGTATTGTTTAAGTTGCATTGGCACAACATCTAACACCTGCATAAACGCACTGTATAGAAACTACAGTGCATGTATGCAGGTAGCTCAGTCGTTCCCTGATGATGCGCACACACACACCTAACTTTATACAGCTGAAATACTTCATTAACAGTATTTAATTGTGTCATTTTCTGCTGTTTGGTGCCATATTTGCTTTATTGTAAATCTGCAGCACTGACCTTCCAACATTCTTCTACTCAAATTTTGACCTGACCAGACCGGTCTTCATTCCTTATAAACACTGGCCCTGTACCAGCTCTGCATCATGCCCGCCTATCGAGCTCCCTTTTGAGTATCTATTCCTGAAGCCTGATTAATTTCTCACCTTTTCTCTTACAGGAGTGAACTGCCTCGCATACGACGAGGCCATAATTGCTCAACAGGACAGAATTCAGCAGGAGGTGAGAAATTCCTTTTCATTAGGAAAGGTAATATAAACAAAGTCGACTTATCATTATAAATATGCCTAGCATCAGCATTAACAAGCTTCCAGATTCAACTCATTGTCATTGTCTCATTTCTTTGTTTCCCTAATGATTTGCTTTTATTCAATTAACAACTGATGACCTGCTGAAGCTTTTTAAAGCTTCCTAGTAATTAGCAACCTTGACCTCAACCTGTCGAATTATTAAAAAATTGATGATTAATGAAATTGTACAGTTGTGACCTAATAATAAAATGAGGTGTTTTGTAAAACAAAACAGAAAACAAATATAAACAAACCAAATTTTAGTGGAAGTTTTGTTTAATTACATTTATGAATACACAGCTATTTTTTTGTTGGTCAAAATCATCATCCTTCAAGAGTATAAGCACAGCCCACAACTGGTTAGGACAGAATCACTCATGAGTGAAGTTGTTTACAGTGTATGTAATAAATTTGATTTTCTTTGTGTGGGTGTCCAGATAGCCAACAGTAACCCGTTAGTGTCGGACAGACAGGACCTGTCGGTGCTGCAGAGGGAGTATGCTGAGGATGACACGGTTTATCAGCTCAAGATCAAGGTCAGTCAAACTGCATCACCTGCACCCACATCATGGTGCATTTCCTCCACAACGGATTGGATGTTGCATTGTTTCCTCCAGGGCTACAAAACAAAATCATATGGTGTAATTGTCTTTGTTTTGTTGCAGGACCTATACAAAAAATACTCGTACATTCGTAAGACGCGACCAGATGGGAACTGTTTCTACAGAGCCTTTGGTTTCGCACATCTCGAGTCCCTGCTAGATGACAGCAAAGAACTTCAGAAGTGAGTGTCACAGTGCTTACTGTTTGGGCTGTAAGTGGTGCTGCTCTCTAGACTGAAATTCACACCTCTGTCATCTTGGACTGGCAGAGTTTCATTTTCTCGTGGCTGCACAGGGTGCCCAGATATTTTTGCATGAACAACAGTCAGCTAACATTAAGGTGTACTGTTGTTGTCTGTTATGTAAAAAAAAAAAATGCACTGTTTCTTTGTCAGTTTGTCCTGCACTTTTTTCTGAAATATTAAGAAGCATCATGGAAGATTACTGACTACATGTTTTTTTTTGTCTCTTGAGGTTCAAAGCAGTTGCATCTAAAAGTAAACTGGACCTGGTTAATGAAGGCTTCACTGAGTTCACCATTGAAGACTTCCACAACACTGTGAGTTTCCTACACAAGAAGAAAATACATTCATTGTTTATTGCTAACTGACAAACCTAAATGCATTATTCTGAGTTTACTACAGAAGTAGTAGATGATTATTCTGTATATTAAAGGGAACTGTATATATGATGAAGCTTTTTACAATGCTGTTGTTTCATTCATGGTTTATTCTGGTTGTAAAGTACATACAGTATCTCTTGCATTCTTTTGGACACATTGTTTGAAATGTGTTAGCAGAGTTTACTGTAGTTTGAGCGTTTCTCTGCCACCTCTGAATGGCCACCTGCCAAGTCAGCTTAAGCAGACAGACACTGGTTTTTGGCCTGTTGGATTGTAAGTTGGCAAGCTGGACTCGTACATATCAGTCTAATGATGTCAATAATGTCTCTCCTCCAAGTTCATGGACCTGATTGAACTGTGTGAGAAACAGCCGAGCCTGCAGGAGCTGCTGAGCTCCTTCAATGACCAGAACGTGTCGGACTATGTGGTCGTGTACCTGCGGCTGCTCACCTCAGGCTACCTGCAGCGAGAGCATGGCTTCTTCCAGCATTTCATAGAGGGAGGACGCTCTGTCAAGGAGTTCTGTCAGCAGGTGGGTTTCAGAATTTTCACTTTGAAGAGCTTAAAATGAACTTCTGGTTCATGCAAAGGAAAATCTGGGTCTCATAACCATTTTCCTGAACCATTCTTTGGTAAACAAGGATGAAAAGTGTACGATCACAATGTACAGTGTCTTTACCATTCATGTTTTACAGTGAAAACTAACTCGCATGCTTGTTTTTTTTTTCTTTTCCAAGGAGGTAGAGCCAATGTCTAAAGAAAGTGACCACATTCACATCATCGCCTTAGCCCAGGCCCTGAACGTATCCATCCTGGTGGAGTACATGGATAGAGGAGAGGGAGGAACAGTCAATCACCACGTCTTCCCCGAAGGCGGTGACCCACGCATCTTCCTCCTCTATAGACCTGGCCATTATGACATCTTGTACAAATAACACTCCTGGCCACAGCCCACCTCATCCTCCTCCTGCTGAACGCTACAGCAGTTGGTTAAAAGAAATAACTTCAGCAGCCACTTTGATGAAGCATACATCTGTGTATGAGATTACACTCATGTATTTGAAAAAAAAATAAAATTTAAATCACATTACATGCCTCCCTTACCCCTTTTCGCCCCAGACTCCCAAGTTTTCCCCTCAGTCATCACAAAATGGTTAATTAAAAAAAATCTTTGGAAAAATAGTGACTCCAGGCATTTAGAGTTGTACAGGTTTTTTTTTCTTTTGTGGTTGTAAATGTTATCTACTTGCTTTATGTTGGATTCTTTTCCTTTGTTACACTGCGTTTCATTGAGTTTTATTAAAGGGATTTACATCTTATCTCTTGTGTCATGTTTCCTTTAGAGTCAGGTTGAATGTAGATCTGATAATTTGCATCATCAATTCATGGCTTTTTTTATTAATTGAGAAAAATTGGAAATCTACCAATTTCTCTGAAATATCAATGACATCTTCAAATAGCTAAATTTAATTTTGCCCTAAGATATTCGATTTACAATGATATAGAGGTGTGGAAAAGCAGAAAATTATCACATCTGAGAAGGTGTTGGTAATTTATGCTTACACAATTATCAAAATTGTTAACATTCTCCTAATGGAATAATCGACTGATCATTTTAACACCTCCAAATGTAAAAAGTATAGGTGTACAAGAATAGATGCTTCCATTAAAGTAACACTTATTTGCAAGGCAGTAAGATTATCATCCTAAATCATGCAGGTTCTTTGCAGAGTCGCTGCTGTACATTAAAGCTTTACAGAATCAAAACAAAAAAAATACCATTAAGTACAAAGCTAAAGACTTTATTATATGGTTAAATCTTGAGATCAGCCACATTACCAAATAAGATAGTCGCCTGAAAAACTTTTATTTTGGTTACTTGATAATCACGGTAATCTGCAGAAGTGACTATCGCGTAGTTTTAACCACAAGCATAATGCAGCAGTTAAGTGAGTTCAGAGTGCAGCTGCACTTTGTTTATACTTTCAACCACACATGCGCAGTCGCGTCATGCCGCATAACGTAATCAAAGATCGTCGCCTCCATCAGCAGACGCTGTCTCGCTATCGTTTTGGTGGACGCCAGTAGTCACTGTTTTTGGTACTGGGAAGTATGCTCAGAGTTAGAACTCCTTCCTATGACAAAGTGAAGACAAGCGAAGTCCTTGAAGGAAAATGTTTCCACTCTCAAAACCTTTGACATTGTTAAGATGGCGAAGAGTTGCAGCTCGTGTACGGCATCACTCTTCTCTCACAAGTAGGTTTAAACCTGGAGCCGCTGTCTAATTTAAGCTAGCTACGTTGACTGACATGTTTCTGTGTCGGTTACTGCAGGTACCACACGGCGCTGCAGCTAACTAAGCTAGCTAGCAACTACAGTGGGTTAGCTGTATGTGAATGAAGCCATACATTTAAAAGGATGTTACTTCATGTTAACTGCAATTCTGTGCTGAAGTCAGTTTCATTCAAGAGTTAAAGTATGTTGCTTCTGTTTATGTCCACAAGCAGTGTGAATCATTAGACAAACTTCAAATCACAATAAAATTACATTGACATTTTCATGCCAAATCCAGTAAGATCCAAGGTCCTTAGTAAATGTCTTGAATCTTGTGAAATAATGAAATAGTCTTTTTATAAACATAAGACGCATTGACCTCCCAGATTGAAGTCCCTCAATATGAGGGACCATGCAGGCACAGAGGATGGTTGTATCTGTGTTTCACTAATATTCACTAAATCTAATTGTCTGTTTTTCTGTATAGCTGAACTGATAGAAAACATGGATAAGAAAGCAACCTGGGACCGTTTCTACACTGAGAACAATAGCAGGACACCCACCTTCAAGAACTTTGAGTGGTTCTTTGGCTTTGATTCTGTGCGAGACTTCATCATGCCCCTCTTACAGACTAAGTCTCACCCAGATGCTCTGCTCCAAGTCCTGGATATGGGCTGTGGCACTTCAGCTCTGGGGCCCTGCATTTACAGACATTCTCCTCTTCCAGTCCGGGTCACTTGTGCCGACATTTCCCCCATAGCTGTGCGCCTAATGCAGGAACACATTCAAGCTAAAGCCATTCAACCTCACAATGTTTCCTCTCAGCTTGAGTTTGTAGAGCTGGACTGCACACATATTCACAAGCACTATGGTTCTAGCAGTGTGGACCTGATAGTTGACAAGGGCACCACAGATGCCTTGTTGAGGTCTAAGGAAGGGAAAGGGAAGGCTGCCCTGGTGCTGAAGCAGTGTTTGAAGGTGTTGCGGAGCTCAGGGTCTCTGCTCCAGTTCTCTGATGAGGACCCTGATGCCAGACTGCTGTGGCTGGAGACAGAAGCTCAGGAGCCGGGTGTGATGGCAGCAGATGTTGGGGTGCAAGAGGTTGGGGAATTAAGGGGAGTGTGTTACTACTGCTACCAAGTGACTCCTCGCTGTATTGTACAGGAGTAACTTTCTATGTGTGGATGGTCATAATGTGAAATGAATAAATTATTGAAAATGATTGTAAAAAAAATAAAAAAAATGGATATATCTTTTTTCTTGACTCACTTGCACCACATTATTAATATCTGTTTTATCTATATATGTGTCAACTCCAAGGCAAATTATGTGTTTACGTACAGTGTAATACATTAAGGCAAAATACATGTCTTTAAAGTCATTCACAAGGAATGCATATAGAGTAAGTGTAGAGCAAGCACTCTCATTCCTTCTCATTACTTGGTACACACTGCCATCTAGTGGCCAGCAGATGGCAGGACAGTCTCATCCAGCAACCTACAATTTAAAATACACATGCTTTTTCTCATGGAGGCATAGGGAGTTCAATGGACTACAAGTTACAAAAACACAAGCAAATGGACCAAAAAAGATGAATAAAAAGAAAGCATCACCACTAGGACAACATATAGAGTATGTCTATTTAGTCTTCACTAACATAAGCTGCCATTATTACCATGTGTGGCTATAGCTATAGCTTTCTATTTTTATCTGTCCTGAGAAAACTTTGCAGAAGCAAGGTTAGTACCATGGGAAAACATGTATAACATTACATGTAGAAATGAAATATGGTTACTCAAGGACTGATTGGGAGGGGCTTTGGGGTACTGGTCAGGGTGTCTAAGGTGCTGAGGATGGTCACAGCCTGAGGGAAGAAGCTGTTGCGTAGCCTGGTAGAGGAGGTCCCGATGCTCCGGTACTTCCTGTTGTTATGGTAGGAGGGTGAAGAGGTTGTGGTGCTGAAGACTTGCACTGTACTTCACTGATATGCTGTTTGGAGATACTGTAGCTCATTACAATTTGTCACTGTTCAAGGCCAAATGAACAACTTACCAATTTTATCAGACCATTTAAAGAGGTCCATCATGCCAATTCTACTTGTTTACCTTCTCCTCAATAGTCTGCTGGTCATAACATAAAGACACCAGGAGACATGGCCTGCCCTCCTCACTTTCTGTGTCCTCATCCTGCAACTCTCATCCTGTTGTTTGTGTCCATCTACGTGTGTAGTCTGCTACAGTGCATCAGGTATTGTCTATGCTGGAATACTCTTAGGTTCTGCAACCTGACTACGGTCAAGAACCCCATTGTATGGTGTTTTTATGCCTTACTATACTATGATTTTTTATAACTTACTGTAGTATGACATTTTTATACCTTAGTAAGGTATAAAAGGTGATACTATAGTATGACCTTTATACCTGACTATACTTTGATGTTTTTATACCTTACTATAGTATGACCTTTTTATGCCTTACTATACTATGACGTTTTTATACCTTACTATAGTATGACATTTTTGAACCTTAGTAAAGTATAAAAGGTCATACTATACTATGACGTTTTTATGCCTTACTATAGTATGACCTTTTTATACCTTACTATACTACGCCTTACTATACTATGACATTTTTATACCCTACTATAGTATGACATTTTTATACCTTAGTAAAGTATAAAAGGTCATCCTAAACTATGTTGTTTTTATGCCTTACTATACTATGTTGTTTTTATGCCTTAATATACTATGTTGTTTTTATGCCTTACTATACTATCACGTTTTTATGCCTTACTTTACTATGGGGTTTTTTTATGCCTTACTATACTATGGCATTTTAATACCTTAATATACTATGTTGTTTTTATGCCTTACTTTACTATGGGTTTTTTTTATGCCTTACTACACTATGGCATTTTAATACCTTAATATACTATGACATTTTCATGCCTTACTACACTATGATGTTTTTATGCCTTTCTATACTATGGTGTTTTTTATGCCTTACTATAATATGAGGGATTAATGCCTAACTATACTATGACTTTTTTATGCCTTCCTATACTTATGACATATTATAACTTACTTTACAATGACATTTTTATGCCTTACTATACTTTGATATTTTAATATCTTACTAAACTATGACCCTTTTATGCCTTACTATACTATGTCGTTTTTATGCTTTACTATACTATGACAGTTTATGCCCAACTAAAATAACTATACTAACTATACCTAACTAACTACTTTGACCTTATGCCTTATTATTGTATGAATTTTTATACCTTGCCATGCTATGTTGTTTTTATAACTTACTATATTATTAAGTTTTTATGCCTTACTATACTACGACATTTCAATAACTTACTATACTATGGTGTTTTTTATGCTTTAGTATACTATGACATTTTTATACCTTACTATACTATGTTGTTGTTATGCCTTACTATACTACGAAATTTCAATAACTTATTATACTATGGGGTTTTCTTATGCGCTAGTATACTATGACGTTTAAATGCCTTACTATACTATGATATCTTATGCCTTACTATACAATGACGTTTTTCTGCCTTACTATACTATGACATTTTTATACTTTAGTAAGGTATAAAAGGTCATACTATACTATGTTGTGTTAATGCCTTACTATACTGTGGCATTTTTTTTGCCTTACTAGAGTATGACCGTTATACCTGACTATACTATGACCTTTTTATGCCTTATTATAGTATGAATTCTTTATACCTTACTACACTATGACATTTTATGCCTTAATATATTTTGATATTTTTATGCCTTACTATACTATGACATTTTAATGCTTCACTATACTATGAAGTTTTTATGCCTCATTACTCTATGACCTTTTTTTGCCTTAGTATACTATGTTTTTTTTGCCTTACTATGTTATGACATCGTATGCCATACTATACTATGATGTTTTCATTCCTTATTATAATATGACTTTTTACGTCTCATATGGTATTTTTATGCCTAACTATACTATGGTGTTTTTATTCCTTACTATACCATATTTTATGTCTTACTATACCATGTCATTTTATGCCTCACTAAATTTTGACAATTTTAGACCTTACTATTCTATGATGGCTTTATGCCTTACTATACTATATACTTGCCTATCTGTGTGTCATACTGTGGGGTAGGTAAGAGAACAAAACAATTGTGCATTTTATGAGTAAAGCATGAACATTTCAGCATAAAATCTACATACCCCAAGGTTTTATTTCAGACGTGAAGGCAATTTGTATCTGACCTCTGGTGACCTTGGGAGGTCATTGACATCTATTGCATTTTTCCAGTTTTTGTCCCATTTCTCCATTATAATCATGTATATCTTTGCAAAAATTGCATAAAGATGCTTATTTGCTGCTGTGGCCATGTTTCAAAATTTTGCTAAGAGCACCAATTTTGAAGGGGGGACTGCAGACCCCACCATTTCTAGGTGTTAAGGTAGCTATAGATTGTTAAAAACACTGACATCTACTGTGTGTTCTGAGTTGATACATCAGTAACTACACACCTTAACTCGGTCTTTCAAAAAGCTTTTAAGTAGTCAAGTGAATGCACTGATCAGGTCATCACTTATCCACCTCTATGGTATGAAACAGAGAGCTGACAGGAACACATCCAAACTCAGTGACAGTGCTCATCTAGTTTGTTGCAGAAGTGGATAATAAGGAAGGTGAGGCAGCACAACCAGACAAGCAGGTTCATGAGCTATAAACATAAAGGCAGAATCACAGAAAGTCATGTGCGGCAGTACACCACATGACTTTGTGATTTTCTGTCTAATTTCCTCTTATTGTACCATTTCTCTACATGTCCTGGGCCAGATGAGCTGCCCAACAGCAGGTTGAAGTCCACATTCAGTGGCCTCTTGCAGCATAAGTGATTCTTGTTGTTAAATACATAACACCATGGAGGACAGGATGTCATTATACAGTCTTTGTGCTGTACATGACATTTTCTGTAGATATCACTGCAGTGCTGTAGAGTAGAAGAACATCAAGGTGGAAGCTCTTATTGTTACAAGAGCCAAACTCTCAGGCAGATGTGCTTTCCCATGTGCAATACTGTACTTAGAGAAGACTATCAGCTTCTCACTTGCGGTGGACTTTCAATACTTCCCACTGAAAAAAAAAGAACTTACCACAGAAAGGCCTCGGTTCAGCAGTGGTGGGGATGCTGACAAAGTTAAAGAGGTGGTTTTAATCCGAGTGGAGCATTTGCAACACATTTGTGTCAAAATGGCAAATTAATCATTTTATATTCCTCAGAAATAAAATCAAGAAGAGAACTGCAGTGAAAGAGTGAGACTGAAGCCATCTCTCAGAGGAAAATCAGATACAGTTTACTTGCTGAGGCCACTTATGGAGAAGCAGACTGTACTGAGGAGTGCCAGGGGTGCTACCGCCCTGTTACCTCAGGTGCAGCACAGCAAACATCACAGCAAAAGTGGTGCAAACAACATTCATATCACAGTGCTTTTACTCACATGCATTAAGTGTAGGGACCTCGCCTGGGGTGCATAGCCTCCCAGCAAGATGGCATGCAAAAAGGACTAATACAAAAAGTAATCAAACAAACAACTCAGTTGACTGTACGATGGAAGCAAATTCAATGCAGAAGCAATACAAACCATAAGGAAAAGCAAAGCAAAAAGGAGCAAAACCAATAGCGACAAAAACAGCAGCGGGTGAACCTACAATGGTCATAATGCTGCAATAAAAATACACGGTTATTGTGGCCCTACTCACCACCTCTGGTGTGGGGCATTAATACAGATACCCAAGGGAGGGCAGGACAGCAACCAGCAAAACTAAAATGGAGGCGGTGATTGAGTAAACAGTATAAAATGCTGAGTTTTGCTTGGCAATTGACTTGAACTACATGTATCCCTGAACAACAAACACAGGCCCACAGGTGCTTTATATAACCTTGTCCTTAGGGAGTTGGATGGAGAAAGCACCAGGCCTGCGAGTTGCGTTCACAAACACTACCCACCATTCAACTACACTAGGGGAGCGTTCCCCATCACAAAGGCATCAGTGCCAAAAGGAGAAGGAAAGGTCCAGATTTTGGCTTTTTTGTACATTGTTTTGTTTACATGTGTGTGTTGTACATTGTCATTACGCACAGAGACAAGGTAAAATAAACACATATCTTTAGAATTTTTATATTTTTAATTGATAAAAATGCATGTGGTCACACTGTACATTGTTAGAAAATGGGAGACAAAAGCCTGTTTATTTAGCAGCAATGTAGGTACAGCCCATAATTTGGGCCATGTTGGTAAAGAAAACTGACAACCATAACTATGTATGCCTGAGAGAAGGTGGAAGTCATCTGGTATCAATTTTTTTTTAAAGCTGCATTAACTGATTATAAAAAAAAATGTGAAAGTTGTTTGTAGCAGGAGTAAATTTAACATACACCAAAGCTCTGATTCAGTAAGGTTTGAGAGATCAGTTAAACCAGGCCTTTAATGCTTTGTAAGGAACAAGCTAAGAAAGTCTGCTGGCTCCTCTGTACTGTCCTCCGTCTCTGGGCAGAAGTCTGGAGGGTTGAGCTGACTGGGGTCCGAAATCCCAATGACATTGTTAAAGAAGCTAGTGAACAGAAACACAGTGACATAATTATCACTTGGCCAGATAGAAATATTTGTGATTTTCAAAAGTCGGTTTCTGGCCTGTCACTATTATACTGCCTTTGCTGCCATATCAAGTGGTTTTTACAGTGTCGATCTAAATCTTACTTTGTCATCATCCATCCAAACTGGTCAGTGTGGTACAAAGTGGTGATAGGAATGCATCCGAATTCAGTGACTGTGCTCATGAACTTTCCTGGAGGGACAGAGACGAAAATAACTGTGTCAATAAAATGGCATGGATCAATAAGCAGTGGCGACAGTTTGAACCGCTACATCCTCTCTCACCTTGTTTGTCGGGCATATCCCCGATCCAGGTGTTGACCAGGAGTCCTTCTCCGGGTCCAGACGAGCTGCCCAGAACAGACTGGCCCAGCAGGGATGCAGTTTTTGGGATTCCCAGAGGCTGGAAGTCTGCCTTCAAAGGCCTTTTCTTGCATGTATTGTTGTGTTTGAAAATCTCATACATGGTAGCCTGAGGGATGAAAGTTGTGGGATGAGGGTGACTGTTGCTTATTTTGATTCAACTCTGTTTTCTTCCTTTTACACGTGGCTTTTAAACTTATATTAACAAATGGTGCTGTGTACAGATTTAGCCCTTATGTTTAATTTAAACAAAAAAACACAAATTGCAGAAAAAGTGAGTGGTTTTAATGCTGTTGCAAAATCACTGTATGATTATCATAGAAAAGGTGGATATTAAATAAAATAATAAAGGTCTCAAATTGTATAAAGTGAGATTTCCATTTATCTTTTGATTATAAAGCAGGTTTAGGTTCTAGCTCAGAACTCTGTCCACAGAAAGATGCATACAGACTGTATTCAGAAACTGAGCCTTAAAACAAGCCATCAGGACCTCTGTAACTTTGTGATGTCACAACAAACACAACAAGTCACCAATCTCAGCCTCGCCCAAGTAAACCCACCATCCAAACTTGCAGGACTTGCTTTCGTTGAGTGTTTATCTTAAATCTGCTATATTTTATCAATTAGAGTCAGCCAATCAATCAGAAGAGAGGCTCAGAGCCAATCAGAAGAGAGGCAATTTAAAACCACAAATATATCTTCTTGTGGATCAACACTTTGAATAAAACACAGAAAAATGTAAAATATGGGACGTTTAAATGAGTTGATATTAAATTTGAGCATTTAAATCTGTACATTCACAGAACTACTTACACCTGGATATAACACACACAGTTTGTCAGCCATGGTCAGATAACTGTGGTTATTGTGAACTTTATCAAGTATAAAAAAATATGGATTTGTTATTGTGTCATGTGTCAACCAAAGGATCTCTCCTTGTATAAAGTATTTGCAAAGTATAATTTTGGAGATGAAATCCCTCAACTCGTTTAATGGCAGATCTTATTACCTTCCATTGAAATTAAAACTAATGATTCCTTAGTCTTAATTTGTATTTTTGCTCTTCACTTCTCTAAAATTAGAAATTAAGTTTCAACTTTGACTATACTGATGGAATAATCTTCCGATGAGGATCCCTGTGCCTTGACTTCAATAAAATAATTTTTCCCCCGTGATCAGGAGTGACTGCTCTCTAAAATGAATATTTTGGATTGCTTTGGTCACCTCTCTGTAGAGCAGAAGAACATCCAAGGTGAAGGTCTTATTGTCATACGAGCCAATCTCCTCGAGCCTTATCCGTCGCCCCAGTGCATCATACAGGTACCTGGCAGTGGCCCACAGCTTCTCATTCTGTGAGGACTGCAGAAAGGTTATATGAGTGAGTTCACATATTGTAATTGTGTTTAGTCCTGATGCTCAGGTTCTGCTTTAATGTGCTCACAAAACACAAACACTTACCACAGACAGGGCCCCGCTCAGAAGAGGAGGGCTTGCTGTGTAGAGAAGATGTGTAAAAGTATAACACTGCATTATTTAACTATTTAAATAATGTTTATATTTAATTATTTAAAGGTACACACATTTTACACAGTAAAACAGCATGTATTGTGAGAGCATAAAATGACAAAAGAACAGAGAAATAAAACAGAATCAGAATCATTTTTGTCCATATATCTATCTGGTATTTTACTTACAGCATGGGTGAGGCCTCTGTGCCAGGCAGCCTGCCAGTAAACACGATAAAACTACGAAAAGTTTCATATTTTCAGTTTCCACGCTTCTGCTCTCAGGCGACTACAAACACTCTGGTGCTTGTGAAGAGTGACTTCCTTATAAACAGCGCCACTAAGGCGCTGGGAGAAAGTCCTGCCTCCAGGTTTTATTTATAACTCTATGTAAAAAAGGTGCTCATACGTCATTGAAAGGCTTCTGCTATCAGGCTCACAACACCATAAAAGCATAACACCTGTTCTACTTTCTGCTCTATAAACTGGTTAATGTTTGTCATGGAGGGGACAATTGAACAGCAGGTTTTGTAATTGAAGATTATTATATCCACACAAATTTTACAACCAAACGTATAACATATTCAAAATACACAATGCAGTACATTACAGAGACTGCAAACATACACTGCGTTTAAGTTACAGATGTTCAGAAAAGCTCACTTTCAGACAGTGCTTGCAGCGGGGTGGCTGTGAGGCCTGCCTGCACTGGGTCAGGGGTAAAGAATGCTGTTTGTGTTCACAAACGTAGGAGGCCATAAAACCCCGAACTGGATTTGTGGTTGACTGGAGCGGAGGGATCACATGTGTCAATAACGCTGTGTCACTGTCATATGATGTGGAGGTGCGTGACTGCTGTCATTAGATAGGAGTACCTGAATGTCACAGGTATGTTCTTCCCTCACTGATTTACTCTGTTGAGCTCATATACACACTTTATTTAACGACAGCATTACACTGTTTATACACATTAACATGGTTCTTTATTCCCGTGATTCGATATTTCACATTTCAACACTATGCAAAAGAAAGTGTTGCACTTTTAAGTTTCTAATATTGCATTTGACTTGCACAGTAAACGTTGAGCTCATAGATTTAACAGTGTGTCCGCATCTTTGTATTCACTTTCACTAAATCACAACCCCATTAAGTTTGAATAAAGAATACAGTATATCTTAATATCTTATTCATGTGCAACCTGTTTACATTCATTTTACAAGTCATGTCTACAAGGTTATTTTTGTTAACTGCAGTTTAAAAAAAAAAGGTTATTAAATTATTAAAAAAATAATTAAAGTGGAAAAAAACTAAAGTACTTAACACAAGAGTGTGAATAAAGGCAATGAAAGAACAGATCTACTCAGTGCTGAAGAGCAGCTTTACACAACATTGGTCACAGTGTCAGATGATTCCTGCTGTCAGTCCAGTTAGACAGCAATCTAGTCTTTCAGAGACAGTGAAAGATAAAAAAAAATACTTTGTCATCCAAAATAAAAACACCACAAGTATTCTATTGCAGTCGTTTTTTTCATGATTTAGTGGTTTTGACAAGTGCTAACATGCATTTCTCAATACGGAGTTCACTTTTTCACACCCCGGTCTACATAACAGCGGTCACTGTGGACTAAACTGTGTATCCCCTTTCGTTGCTTTAACGTGGAACGCAGTCAAAGGCCACATCTTTCAAAATTCAGACACTGTTTTCTCACTCAAACTCAACCAGCACCTACACTCACAGGTTTACATACCATCTTTAAAAATGAACCTAACATAACAAAAATGTATTGATGATTAGATTAATATTAGATATATTCTGCTACATCTAAAAAATAAAAAAATGCATAAACTGGGACAAACAAAACTGTGTGCCTGTTTTCATTCCTTGATGATCTCTATGAAACTGTGATGCCAGCTGAGCAAAGCGGAGCAGGTGAGGCTGAATCCAGAACATTTTGTAAATGTACGGAACAATATGTTGTTCTCTCACTGTTTTCACCCAGTCACAGACTAGTTTATAGCCCATCCAGGATGGCGTCATTTTTCCTTCCACCTTACTCTCCATCCCTCAGTCCTATAGAGGAACGCTTTCCCTAATGGAGGTGGAAAGTGTATAGGTTTATGAAATGTTTTGGTTGCATTAGTGTCTTTCTGGATGCAAGATTAAATGTTGTGCTGAGCTTCATGTTGGTAAAGAGAACTGTCTGTACAGTTTTTAAAAAAATGAACTCAGTATAGAAAAATGCGTGATACAAACAGTAAAGAGTCAAACAGAAATAGCATCAATGCTTACGGTTTAAATACTGTGTATAGTACCACAAATAGAATTTAGTTAATCTATATTCATAATTTTGCTAATTTTACCTTTTCTCAGTCTGCAACCCCCCCCCCCCCAAAATCCCCCTTGTGTAAACTCTAATCATTTTTCTGTCCTTCATTTCAGTAGTATGTCTGATAGTATGTCATTGAGGCTAACTTATGTAAACCTGTAGATTTCAGAAGCTTGCATCAAAGTCATGTTACTCATATTCAAAACCATTAATTTTTCACTTAATTGTGAATGCAAACACTGAATATCAGCAAGTTTCTAGGGAACAACATGAGGATGTCTGACCACTGGAGGTAGTTTGAGCAGCTGGCAAATGCCATTGCACTCTGGTCCATGTTGCTCTTCCAGGAAGTACCTGAGGCCTCTGGCGCCAAAGTTGGACGGGCCTTTAGGGGTCTTGGTGGAGTGGATCTGGGGGTCGGTTAAGTAGGTCAACCCTTTGCCATTGGCTGTCACCCATCCTGTGAAAACGAAAAGAATGCACAAGTTGTGGAAAATCATCGTACACATTGGTGGTTTCGGTGACACACACACACACACACACACACACACACACACACACACCTTGAAGGTCTACAACGACTTCCTGGTAGCCAGAGAACTGGTAGGTGAAGTGTCCAAAGGCAAGGCCATATTTTGTAGCCTTGAGACTCTCGTCCTTCTTTCCACTGTTGTTGGTGAGTTTGACAAAGTCTCCGAGCATGTAGGGCTCCACCGTTACACAACCCACGATCTCATTCCCATTCAAAATCTATCCACAAGGGCAAATTAAGAAAAGTTTGAAGTCTATTTTGACTTGTACGAAATCATTCATATTACAACAAAATTACAGTTGTGTATTTTGTGCTATTACGGTGTAAAAATGAATGTTTGATGATGATTTGTCACTAGAGGTGATACTCAACAGTATGTTGCAGTCTTACAATATGGGGTTTATATTCAGAATTTGTATGCATGCTAAAATGGTGAATCATTGAAATATATTGTGTGGTTTGCACTCAGACAGTTGCATATTGTTTTATTTGATTTGATTCATTCAGAGAGGAGCAGACCCAACTGAAGAAACACTCACTAATATGCTCTTATTTGTATTGTAATTTCCAATTTCCCCTTTTAAGCTCATAGTACCTTCTATATTAATAACCAAGAAAATATTGGCTTTACTCGTGTCACAGGAGGGTATTTCTAACTATAAACTGACAACCGGAGGCTGTATTACATTAGAATTTCAACCAAAACTGCTTCAAGGCTACTGCAGGCAGTACTGCACTCTGCTGACTATAAAGATATGGAAGTATATGTGTAAGGGGTCCTATTAAAGTACTGTTTATGAATGAGGTCATTTTAAATTAGTGCAACATCTGCTATTTCTTCTCCTCCTCAATGAAGTAAACTTTTATGCATTTGTTTAATGTTTGGTGTGTGCTTTTAGTTCATTTCATCTTTACTATTTGGCCTCACCAACAGCGCCTCTGAGGGAATGAAGAAGATCTGAGCCATGACGTCTCTGTCGAAGAGACTCTTATTGAATTCAGTCACATAGTACTGGGCTGTCATCTGTCTCTCCACGTCTTTCAGGTGAAACTGGATCTGCTTTGGCTTTAAGTAATCCTTCCCCACATAACTAAGGACATACATACACAGACAAAATAAGACTTAAAGTCATCATATTCAGGTTGTGGCGACAATGTGTAGTTGCTTACCTGCTTAACCTTTCCTCCTGGTGTAAAAACTGTACCCATATTGCTTCTCTCTGCCCGCCCTTCATCCCCATTAGCTCTCCGATGTAAACACAGGTCTCCCTTGCTGTCCACAGTCCTTTTGCTTTGGAGAACTTTAAATGAAGAGCACCTAGTGGATATGACATTCAGAGATTAGCAGTTACAATTTTATGCACTCCTGAAGACAGCTGGGTTTTTTCACTTAAACTTCATTACGATTCATCCTTTGGGAATCATGAACGTTTTTTTTTTAAACAACAATCCATCAACCATATTTTAATGGCAATCCATTTGATAAATGTCAAGACATTTGCTACAACTAAAACCCAAAAACGTCAACCTCATGGTGGCACTAGAGGAAAAGTCAGGGGATCACCGAAGCCAGAATGCTTCATCCTTTTGGTACCATGAATGTCTGTCCAAAATTTCATAGCTATCTATTCAATACTTGTTGAGATATTTCAGCCTGGGCCAATGTGGGGGTCAGACTAACCACCACTGCCAGCCCTTGAGCCATGCTGTTAACGTGCCTAAAAAGATGTCTGATGAAGACAAATCTCAACAAGAATGGGACTTCATACTCACAGTAGGCGGTTCTGTGTTCCTTGAGTTTGAATTGTGCCTCATCACTGTGCAACCTCTTCAGCAGACAATCATGACAAATTCCAGCAAGTAGGGCTTCGTAATCCTTCTGTGACAACAAATACTGTTGCTTAGGGAAAACACTACCTACGATGCTGTGCTTTAGGCAGCTGTAGCACGAGGGGTTCTTCCTCTGAGGGCCATTCACTTTTTCTGTAGAAGAGCCTTCACTGCATTGGTGTTCACTTTGACTCTCCTCCAGCATCTCAAATGAACTCTCTGTGGAGGTTTCAGTGGGGGCACACTGGAAGAGGTTTGGGTGTGGGGTTGCTAAGGAGCTGTTGCTAGGAGGTTTTACAGATACAGAGTCAACCTCAGTGTCTGTATTTGGGTATACATTAAGGCTCTCCAGGGGTTGTGGCTTGGATGAGGCTTTGAATTCCCATCCGGATGCGTTTTTGTACGTGACATCATGAGCTGAATCACTGGTTTCATAATCAAGTGTTTCCAACAGGAAGAAGTTCCCATCGGACTCTGATGACTTGCTGCTTTGGCCCGTTCCTGCTTTTGGCAGGCTGGATGGCTGAGGTTTTCTCTTTGTGGGGGGGTTAAGGTCAGCTGAGATTTTTTCCCATGATGACTGGGAACCGAAACTGTCACTGAGGGAGCTGGAGGATGATCTGAGAGTTAGCTGGGATAAGGATTGTGGTGCTCCTTCAGCTACTGTTGGGTTCTGTGCCACACCAGCAGCATCAATCATACAATCCTTCTCAGTGCCCAGTGTCTCTATTCCAGCTTGTATCACCTCAAACTTTTCTGAATCACTACTCGCATCGGAGGAGGAAGTGGCAGGTATCGCGGATTGTGGGACTGTATGGGAACTGGCAGCAGAGTTACAACCATGTGACTCTTGCTTCTCGTTTTCATCAGTGAATTGAAGCATGCTGTCTGACCTCTCATCATCAACCTCAGTGATCACACAGCTCTGATTCCTTGCATTTGCTCCACCTTCAATGGCACTACTTCCTGCGTAGCCACTGCTGCTGGGCCAAGAAGACCCTGAACCGCTCAAGGAGAGGTTCTGCCATGATGAGCCAAGGTCATCTGTTCTCCCTCGAGTGGTACGCGTGTCTGGCTTTTGTGGTGGATGCACAGATGAATTTGAACCTCTCTTATGTGGCTCCTCTCCTGTGGGTGTACCTTTTGACACTTTGCAGGCCTCAGTGCTACACTCTGTGTTGAGTGTATCAGGGGTTGTCCACAGTGCAGTTATACACAGCCTTGCCCCATCTATCTCATCTTTAGTCCCCTTACAGTTTGGGTTGGTGGTATCGCACAGTGACGCATTATACTTCTGTAATCTCTGCATCACCTTAGTGAAACCTTCCAGAGTAAAATTTACTGATGTATCTTCAATGTTTCTGTAGCTGTCAGGAATAAAAGACCCCTTGTCTGAATTAAGGAAAGGCTCCACTCGCAACAGAAGCTTGACTTGGGAAACCAGTTTCATGATCTCAGCACAAAGGCTATCTTTGACTTGGTTCTCTGCATGACAATAATCATAGAAACTGGCTAAAGCTTTCTGGCAGGCCTGTGTTGCCTGTGCCACAACCTCCTGAGGAGTGCCGAGCCATTTGTGAGCGACAGTAAGGGAATAGGCAGCCTTGAGGAAGGTGTGAAGCTCCTGCTTGCTAGTGACTTGCTCGCCCTCTGCTTTGGTGAGCAAACCAATTGCAAATGCCTCTCTGCCCTGCAGGAGGAAAAACTCTCTTTGAGAGTCAGGGCACTCCACAGAAAAACTGTATGATAACAAGCAGGTCCCTTGAGTTGCCTAGAGAAAAAATAGAGTCTGTCAGTAGATATTTCTATTGGCTCTCTTCTATCATGAGCTATCTCCCTTATCTCTGTTGATGCTATGACTTCATTCATTTCTGTTATCTGTCAATTGCAGGCAATCATGAGTCATGCTAGAGAGCAGTCTATTGAATGACTTACTACATTGGTCAACACATAGAGTGAGGTGTACTGGCTGTATACCACGGCCATCTTTGCTGCCTGGGCTGCTGAAAGAAGACGATGACTCCCATCCCCAAGTAAGGACTTCTGCAAAAACACAGAAACACAGAATACAAAATACAGAAAACACTCCACACAAAGGACTTTTTCTGTACAACAACTCAAAACCAACCAAACCAATCCCATCTCCTCACTTATATCCCCGGGCCATTACAAGCCAACAAACCAAACCGCTTCCAACTCCCCAGTACTGCACACTTCTCCCACCAATGGATGCACCCAATTCCCCCCACCCTCCCTAGCAAAATAAATAGATACGGGAATACCTTACACCTTATTAGTTTATTTCCTATATGTTTTTCTGTTTTCCCTCCCTATTTCTCTCTCCCTCTCAAATATATACAAATCATATATCTAAATCTATAGCAATAACAAAAAGCTGTCAGTTGTACTCTGTAGTAGTGTACACCATTATATTATGTTAACTCTTGTTATGTTAACTCTTGTTTTTTTACTTTCGTCATTTTGTCTTTATCTCGCTTCACCATATGTGTATGTGTGTGTGTGTAATATATATATATATATACTAATATATAATTAATACTATATAAAGCCAGTATTATATTAATTAGCATTATGTCAGTTAGACTTACAAATTCAATATCTGGATTAATCCTAAAAGCATGGAAGTCCTCATCATTCATAGACACCAGTATGTTGGCCAGTATGCCAAGAGAAGTTCCAATGCCCTAAAAAACAAAGACACGTGCAGAGCAAAGGTTTATAACAGTGTGTAAACTGGGTCATGCATGTACATAAGCTCATAAAGTGGCAACTGTGAAATTTACATTGTGGCTTTGCCTCAGTTTACCTTTTTATCAGGTTGAGGAAGTGAGAAGTAGCCAACCAGAGAGGCCCAGATTAGCTCTGCAGCCTCTAACCACAGGCCTGTAAAGATAGTGAGGAAAGTGCCAATAGAGTGCAGTGTCAGTATTCTTTCATTCAGTAAAAAATGATCTTACCTAGCTTTTGCAAAATCATTCCCCGCACTTGAACGCTAACGGCCTGCACAAGAGCCCTGTCACTGTCAGAGTGGTACACCCAACAACCTGTGTATTAGAAATGAATTATTTGCTATTTATTTAGCTTGTACTAAACAGAATAATCCATCATTAAAGGCAATTACAATATCATAGCAAGACCTTACCTGTGGCCCCGCTATTGTTAATCAGACTGTTCAGGATGTACTCTGCCTTCTGCAGTTTGCCTGTAGTAAAGATGATGATTATATTCACGTAATCACAACAAGTAATCAAAGATTAATTTTCCATGTTATAAGTTTGCATCAATCACTATCATTTCCCAAAACAGTGATTATGTTGATGTATAACATGTTACTTATTCATTCACATTTATTCAGTGCCAATGGCTCAGCACAAAACTAGAACTAGAAATGAAGTATGATCACCAGTCCCACATGTTTAACCCCACCCCTCCGCCACACTGTACCAGAGTTGAGGTACACCCTGGCCTGTCGTATGACCAGCTGGGGGGCCACAGGGGTGTCAGGGTGGCGTCTGTGGAGCAGCTTGGTGATGTTTAACAGCCGGCTGGACTCGTCCGTCCAGTAGAGGAAACGGTCCACTAAGAAGACCACTGCCAGCGCTGTGCGTGCTTCCTGAGCCACGATGGAAGCCTTTAAAACAGCCTGGCAGGAAAATAAACATCTCTAGTAAACAAACAGGACACACAACAAGGAAATAACAGCGGCCACTCAGCTCCGTGATTATTACCAGTAGCTGAGGTAGGTGCTTGCTGATGAGGTCACTGAGGTTGGTTTTGTCGTTGGCGCCGACTGACAGCTTGTACTGCCACTTCTCCGGCACGAAGGGCCACTTCATCTCCATTGCCTCCTCCAGGAGAGAGGCCAGTTCAGCACACAGTGAGTCTACGGGAAACAAGAGTAAGTGGAGTTTTCTAAGTCCAAGGAAACTGTGTGGCAATGCAGAGAATAATGGACATGAAATACCTTTTAAGTACCTATGCCCAAATAAAATGGGAAAATACTTGTTTAACTTTATTTGCAGGAGGGATTTATTTTACTTAAAGCTACACAAGAATAATTTGTAGATTAGCAACAGAAGAATCTGGACAGACTGCTGTTTTTGCTCTTACTGTATCGGGCTACATGTTACTCCCTGTGGGTGGCAATATCTCCTTACTTGACAACATAATTAGCAAAAATACTGAGAACAGTTTCTAATAGCGGGGAACTGATTTCTAACATGCAGATTTTATTTTAGCCATTTTGCATGGTAGATTTGCATCAGTGTTATTATAGGATTAATAGAGGGACACAATTCATGTTAAAATCAAAACATTTTATTTGGTGTTCAACTTTTCTGTTGTTCCTTGTTTTATCACCTGTTATATGTGGGCCACTGGGAAGGCAAGGGACTGGGCTATACTGAGTTTAGGGGATGACCTACAATGAAAACTGTCCCAGCTTGTGCCACTGAAAAGCTGAATTCCATGTTGGATTTGCTGACTATTTGTAAACAACGCCTTCGTCCCTAATTCTCGCACAAACGTGAGCATAATCCCACCACAAAATCTCTGATCCTCACAAATCCCAATCAGACTTTCTCTGATGCCCAAATGAAAATTGACTAAACAGCACCATGTTGTGTCTGACCTCTGCAGCTGCAGTGGTTCAGCCTCTCTGCCTCAGTGGGCTGGATGGACCATTGAGCTTCTCTGAGGCACTCCTCCAGTAAACCTCCCACCTCCTGACTGTCCATTCTGGTAAAACTGATAAAGTTGTTGCCTGGTCCTCCTCCTTCCTTGGCCTCTTCACCTCTGTTCCTGTATTACAGTGATTCAAGAAGGGGGAAATTCCATGGAATGACCAGAGTGCTGTTGAGAAAGGATTGCACCAACACGTGAAGTTTCAAAATATGGAAAAATGCACCTGATCCACAAATCAACTCAATCTCAAATCTCAATCTCAAGTATAAATTAACATGTAACAAAAATAAAACTAAATATATCTAAATTTAAACAACAGTCCTGGTGTTTTGCAAAGTGAACTCCAAATATGATTTCTTACAAGTATATGTACATGACACATTTACTGATGTGCCTACATTCTCTTCAGGTAATGAAAATCAGTTTATAGCCTTTTAGGACAAGAGTTACAATGTGTCTACAACATTTAACAATGAATTTATTGTGACAGAAACTTTCAATTAATTCAGATTATTATGATATTCTGCATTATATTTTCAGACATATATGCAAAAGTTACTTTAGGCGTTTACTCCCAATCTAAAAGACAACTTTCACCTGAAGTGACCTACAGAAAACACAATGTTGTGTCAATAGGAGGTTGAGAGTTGATTCACTATCACCATGGGCATCGGGTCAGGATGCAGGGTGAAAGAACGAAGGCCACCAGCTAAACATATATACAAGATTTAGAAGAGAAGTATTTAACACAACAAATCAAAATAGTCTCATTACGTACGTAAAGAAATAAGGATAAAGAAGGTTCCCCCGAAACAAACGATAAATAACAAATTATAAGAACTAAAGAGTAACAAACTTTTCTTAACAGAGACTGCAGCCCCATGTGAAGCTGGAAAAAAAAGGTGAACGAGAGGAGAACAGCCCTTAAATAATCTTCTAGTGCCCAGGTGAACTCAATCAGGTAAATGAGGGGCGGAGTGAGAAAACAAGAGCCAATCGGTGATAAGGACAGGCGAGGAAGTGAGGCAGGTGAAGAGAGGAAGAGAATATGAAAGAAAATAGGGATATGTTCTAGAAGTGCATTATAGATAGACAAATGTTGTGACAACAGAAAGGGTGAAACCAACCCACAGACAGATAACTCAGCGGCAATAGAAGTTGTTGTTTCAGCGTCCATGTCGACACGTTTCATTTATTTCCTCTAGCCCAAGTTAAAGTTCAACATTAGCCTACAAGGTTGTCACGTTAGTTCGACACATGAAATATAACTTTCATACACGGTAATTAAAATAAACGCCAGCTACCGTGTCTTCCAGTCCTCTTCGTCTTCCCGTTAGGGCAGGACTTCACGACGCTGCCTTTAAATGTTGTCGGAAATATCGCAATTTTCCCAAAGCACGAACGTGCGAGTAGACACTGCAGATCTGACTCAGAGGTGATTTTTTTAACCAGAAAAATGTCTCTCTCTCTCTCTCTCTCTCTCTCTCTCTCTCTCTCTCTCTCTCTCTCACACACACACGCACACACAGTGTCACTGCAAACCATAAGACTGTTTTTTAAACAACGCTTAAAAATAAACAAGGAAATAGTTACAAAAGGAGTCGAAGCGGATGTTATTTTACTCAATAATCAACAACATGAACTGCATTTGCCCTTTCACATTTACATGAATATCTTTTGTGAAAATGAAGTGAAACTATGTTTTTATACACACACAATTGTTTAAAAATATAACTAGAAGCTAGTAGGCCTAATGTCTCAATATGTTATGTAATGTAGTGTAATATACAGTGACTAGATTCATAAATAAATACACTTTGTATTCCCAAGTCGGCTAAGCCACTGCAGCAGCACTGTGTCCTCCTGAATTAAAAATAGGCATAAAGCGTTTGTATCAAAAACACGTAAAAACTAAGTTTAAGGAGTTTGTTGAGGGGTTGCCATGTCTGAGAATGTCGGGGGGAGGATTTTGACTGACAGGACGCGCTCATATCTCAGAGCAGCCCGTGGACTGATGGATTGTTATGGTGCCTAATGGTGCGTGGCTGCTCGTACACAACGAGCATGTGGACAGACCGTGGTGTTGCTGTGATGCTACCAATAGGCGGGACTGTGGCTCTGCAGTGTGATTGTGAGCCGCCACAGCTGGAACGCGAGCAGAAGGCTGGCACGCGGTCCAGCTGCGACCAGATGACTGAGCCCAGCTCAGCTCAGCTCAACTGCCTCTACAAATTCAACGCACACAGCAACACATCACATCCATAAGTTTGCATGCGAGTGCGCCACGAGAGAGGACTGGGACGCGTTGCGGGGTTAATGTGCCGTAAAAATACCCGCATAGTCCATTCAGAGGGGGCGCGCCAGCATTAACTCCGAAGAAGGAACCGGGTGTTTCTCCTCTTGAGGAGTTCCTTTGGGTTTCGATCATTGCCGCCTCTCACCGCAGGAGCTGCGTGTTCCCACTAGACAACCAAACAGGCGCTATGAGTTCGGCGATGCTGGTGATGTAACGCTTTTCATCTCAGCTCTCACTCCAACAACTGTGATCACTGTAGCCTCTCCTCCTCTCAGAGCATGGGGCCCTTCAAACTCTAAAGGTAAGATCTGTCTCATAACTCGCATGTTGGAGCAGAACTGAGGCTCTTTTGGACATTTTTACGCATGCCGACTCTCAGATGTGATAGCTTACTTAGCTTATTTGTTGCAGAGGAAATCTGCAACAGTGCCTGTTTTATTCTGTTTAAAAAAAAAAAAAAATCCACCACTTGATCGATTGATAAACATCAGTGCACAGTTGTATTGCAACAGCAGGTGAGAAGATCGCGAATGGACTTGCCCGCTTGCACCATCAACCACAGCAGCCTGATATTTTCACGTTGACTCATGAGGGGGGGGGGCACGTTTTGGATGAGCTTTGTACTTTGTGTTGGAATAACTACTCACTGCTGTTGTGCTCAGACTTGAAGAAGACATGTGTTGCTTTCTACAGCTGTTAGATGTATGTTCTAGTTGAGCAGTGTTAGTGATGTCATCAGGTTGGAAACAACAGCTCATATGTTGCTCATAAAAAACCCAAATGACTTGGTGGCTGTGTGGAGGAATGGATGCAGTGACACATTATCTTTATTAATAAGTAACAAATACCATATAGGTATTATTACCATAACGTGATCCTCAGGTGTTTAGAGCTGTTAAAACACTGCCTCATGGCGAGTCCATCACAAATGGAATTAACAGTGGTTTTCAGGAAGGAGGAGCATCATTGAGCGGAGGAGAGGACGATGGAGGAACGCCTGCGCCTAAAATTAGACCGAAGGAGTGGCAGGGTCTTTATCCTGCTTTGACTGGTGGGGAGAATGATGGTAAACAAAAAGCCTGTTGACATGCAAAGTTATGCAGAGGCTCAATTTGAACCTGTGGCGTCAGCCATGGTAATGATAGCCACATGGCTCAGAGCCTCGCTGAGGTGTCCGTCAAAATGACTCCGGACCCATGGCAGCTCCTCTAATTACCGATGAACACCTGTGCGTCGATGAGAATTCAACCCTGACTGGAGAGAGTGACACACAAGGCCACGTCCCAGCGTATTGTGATTCAGCCTTGGCTGCTAAATTAAACAAGCCAAAGAAGTCAGGCTTCATTCAATCAGCCCCCTCATTAAGTGTTTTTCTTAAACAGGCTGATGTGGTTCAAGGCGATTCTCTTCCACCACCCTCAGAACGGCGGGGATAAAGAGGCATCTTTGAATGTCGGGGCTGCTGATTACTTTCTCTGCAGCTTTTTTTTTTTTCCCACTCCTGCACATGTTCTGCTGTGAGAGCAGAGGGATTTGACTTGTAAGCCTTGACTGACGGCCTTCTCTAGACATCTGAAAGTCTTAGCAGCTGTAGTTGAGCAGGAGACAGAAAAGTCACTTCGGTGTGTTCTCGGTGTGGCTTGACTTGACCGGAGCGGCATGTCGCTGATTAACTGTTCCTATTTTGAATGTCGGACAAGCTTGCTTTGTGTGCACTTGTTCATCCAGACCGGCATCTGATTCAGGGAATGCAAATGAGGCAGCCATCAGCATCAGCCACCATATGTACAGTGCCCACTCAAACAAATCTGTCACCAAAGAAGGAATCGATAAAACAATTAGCCTGAAGTCCATTTAATCAGATGCTGGCGTATTTGATCATCAGGTACCTCAAAGTAACCCATGGCCTCTGTGATCTCGCGTACCCAGCAAGTGAAGTGGTGCTTGACTTGAAAGGTATAGCACTAGGAAGAAAAGATTTGAAGGATTCAAAGCACCTACAGAATAGTGGCAAAATCAAGCAGAAGAGATTTAAAAAAAAAAAAATTTAAAAAAAAAAAAAAAAAAAAAAAAGCCTCTGCATCTCTATTCCACCTTTCTCTCCTCTGCTGCTGCAGTGCAATTACTTCAGGCCTCTGGAGAGGCCACCTTTGATATTTAGCATTACTTCCAGCCACCTCAACATGCAGCAGTGTTGCACTTATCAGGAAAGCCAGCCATAATTGGATTTGTTGTGAAGGGCTGCTGCGTTATGCCAAAAGACCAACAGCAACAAATCTGGGAGGAGGGGGGAGGAGGAGGAAGAGGATGAGGAGGAGGAGGAGGAGGAGGAGGAGGAGTAGAGGAAGGAATAAACTATCAAGCAGAGCAGAAGGACAGAGTGAGGAGGAGGGAAACAAAAATCGATCTACGCAAGAGGAAAATCAAGCAAAGAAGAAAATAATTACAGAGAGCAGACAAGAGCAGCCGCTCAGACACGTGTGCTGGATGTTCGCCATCATCGGGGTGTACGGTCCAGTGCACTTTCTGCACCGTCTGCCCTCCCCATCTCATTTTTCATTGGCTAATCCCATCTATTCCCCCCAGAGCCCCTGTACTACACTCCTAATTACCTGTATCATCCTTTCACACTCTCCCTGCTCCCTGCTAGGTCGCATTCACACCAAGCGAGTCATTCATTTGAACTGTGGAGTACTCACTCCTTTGGCTCACTGGCAAGTGACAAAGATGGAAACTATACAAACAATACTGCGCCTTCTGAACTATTTGTTAGGAGCGTGTTTATAACTGATTCAAACACCATAAAAGAGAACGTAAGGACAGAGCTGGAATCACATCGACTTAGATGACAGTAATCCTAAAACTCTGACATAACATGGATGTGACATCTCTGTATGCAAACAGGGTCATGTCTAATTGTGCAAAGAAGCCTTACAAACTATTTCAAAACTGCAAAAAGTAAACTTTCCCCCGGTGCTTCAGTCCAGAAATATTAAAAATGAGTGTTTCTCTGTCCCCATCTGTCAATGCACTCGGCTCTCCTCACCTTTAAAGACAGAGCTTGAATGCAGAGGAGAGAGATACAGCAGGAGGGGGAGGTAGTTGGGGAGGGACTGTGTTGGACCTGAGGAGCTATAAATCAAGCTGCGGGTGGAATTAAATCAGTCAGGCTGAAACACAGGAGCGGATGAGCCTGGTGGGAGGACGGATCGAAACTCACTGATGCTGCATCTTAGCTAGTGATTACTAAAGGCGGTAAATTAGCAGTGATAGTGATTGCACGACTGTGATTAGGTTTCAGTTGACTGATCTCTCTGTGCGACAGGTGTTAGGCGTGCCTTACTTTCACAAAGGGAATCGAAAAAACTACGCCTGCGGCATCCTGCACCTGCAATAAAAAAAAAAGAAAAAAAAAAGTGCGTTCATTTCTCCACCTTTGTTTTCATACTACTTCTATTTGCAGTCTATAATCTTTCACGCTCTTTATTTGCATAATGAATGGTGTATTATGATGACAGGAAATTATGGGGTTTGTGGTCTCCTCAGGGATGCGAGCTGTTTTAAGGAGGAAATTCAACATAAACAGGAACTAGCCAGAGCTAACGCGGTTAAAACGGGGTAATGAAGAGGCCAGCTGGGTGAATGTGAAACTCCCAGCATTCACACATAACATGAAGGTAGTTGAGAATGACTGATGTATAAAACCACCGTGCAGCTCAACAGCACAACTCTGACAGGCAGGAGGAAATGAAACAGATAAAACACTGTGCAAAGAACAAATTCATCACCAAATGTACCGCATGTGCCCTGCTCTGCAAGGCATTTCGTAGAAAAGCTGTCTTTGTGAAAATTAAAGGATTTAGCATCATATCACATCACAGCCTAACCAGAGGCTGTTTCTGGGTGGATTTTTTCCTGCAGTTATACAACCATACGTCCATGTTTCTGCAAAGAGGGTGGTCTTCTGGTGCCTCTGGGCAAATGAAATTGCTTACATTTGCACTTGGAATTACAAGGTGAAAGTCTTTAATTAGCACTGAACACAAAATGTATTAATTTGGATCCTCAGTGTAGATTATATTTACTTTTAGTGACTTTTACTTTTTATGTTTACTAACTACAATTTAAATTACTTGACTTTAAACATATTATTTGCTTTCTTGATGACAGTTAGATAAAAGGGGATGGGTATCACTCATGTATTATAATGGAAAAGTTGTAGCCAGCAGCTGGTTAGCTTAGCTTAGCATAAAAGACTGGAAACAGGCTTAGTGGGTCCTCCACAACGATACTGGTCCCAGTTGTTGTTTTGAATTTAACAACAACTTAAACTCACAAGAAGTATTATGTTAACTGGTTGGCTTTAGAGGTGCTTGTTGGTATTTTTTGTTTTCCCTTGTTTCCAGCTTTAAAGGGAATGTTTGACATTTTTGGAAATATGCTAAATTCTCTTTCTTGTTGAAAAATAAAAGATTACTTTCTTGTCTGTACAGTAAATTTTATAGCTATAGCAAGCAACACTTAGCTTAGCATAAAGACTGGAAATAAGGGGAAACAGCTATGGTGGCTCTGTCCAAAGCTAACAAAAACTGCCAACAAGCACCTCCAAGGCTAAAAATAGCACATTTTCCAAAATATCAAACTTTTCTTTTAAAGTTGGAAACGGGGAAAATAGCTTAGCTCTGTTCAAAGGTAACAAAATCCGCTAATCTAAATTATTTCAAGCTAACTGATTGCTGGCAGCTTTACTGTTCAGGCGTTAGAATGGTATCAACACTCTACAAATTACTAAGCGTGTTCAAAAACCAAAGAGCATTTCATAAATCTTCCATAAATCTAATGTCTGATATTACATTCTCTTGCAAAGAGCAAGACTTCAGATTACTACACCATCATTTCAAGGAATTTGCCCATGATGAATGAAACATTCTGTAACAACAGGAAATGAGACTCCTGACTTCAGCATATACAGGAACGGCAGAACATGAACTCTGACCGTGGCGTGTTCAGAAACTAATAGACGGTTGGCAGAAATCGCCTGGGTGTACATTGCAAGAGACAAACCCTAATGTGCTGTTGCAAAAGATGGTCTATCGCGTTTGCTCTTTTACACAATACGCCATGTGCCCTCGTCTTTCACTCATCGCGCAGCCAGTTATGTGCGTGTCAGGGAAATTACCGACAAAGTGAGGAAACGCTCTTTTGTAGAGAAAGAAAAATGTGCAATGAAACTCTCTTTATCTAAAAACTGCTGACTATTTATTACCCTTATAAAACAAACAAACCACATTCAAGACTATT